ATTTGTGAGTAGGACAGCAGAGACAGGAAAAAAAGTGGAAAAACAAACAAACAAAAAGAACCGATTCTATGAAAGAGAAATGGAGTGAGCCAAGACCTAGTTAGACCTGAGAAAAAGTTCTCTTGCTGGCCACCACTGCACATTCACCTGGGGTAAATGAAAAGTTTGAACAGTAAGCCAACGGATCAAAATGGCACAGGCTTTTTTCATATGAAAAATAAATTTCTAAGACATCAAAGGGAAGATATTTGTGAGTCTTGAAATAATGAGAGCGATGAAAGTTAAGATGAAAGTTAAACTGATGAGCAGTTGAATGATGTGGAAGGAACCATGTGGAAATCCTTTAAAGAAATAACCCAAAACTTTCTGGGGAAGCTGCAAGGCAGAAAATCATCAAGAAATGGTCAAAAGATCTTCTCAAAGTCTATAATTTAGGGAAAGGGATAGGGACTGAGGAGACCCTTTGCCGATGACACTCCTTCCGATGCAGGGTGGCACAGACTTTGAAACTTCTGTCTCAGAGAGTTCCCTAGAGCCCTAAGAAGTAATGTGGTCTTCCCAGGGTCATACAGATAATATACATCAGAGGTAAGATTTGAACCCAGGTCTTTCTGCTTTGAAGCTATCTCTATTCACTCTGCTCTGCTACCTTCTCCATTTATCAGAGAGATGTCATTCAAATCAATCTCTTCAGTTCACTTTTGGATCCCTGTTATAACCCAGTGACAAGCTTGAGAAATGTTTGGACACAGTGGAGAGGGCATTCGTTGCTTCTGGAGTCAGGAAGGCCTGAGTTCAAATCCTGCCTCAGATATTTACTTGCTACATGACCTGGAGCAACTTGTTTAACCTCTGCCTGCCTCAGTTTCCTCATCTGTAAAAGGAGGAGGGTACATTTGATGACTTCTAAAGACCCTTCCAGCTCTAAATCTTTGATTCTATTATCCTAAGAAATCTCCATTCCATTTAATAAGCATTTATTAAGCACTTACTAGTAGCACTGTGAAAGGCTCTAGGAATTAAAAAACAAAGCAGTCCTTGCGCTCAGAGAGTTTACATTCAACCCTGAAGACGACATCACGTTCACAGATAAGGAAATACAGGTATTCTGAGCAGAGAGTGGCGCTAAGAGCTGAGGGGATGAGGAAAGGCCTTATTTAGGAGGCGCCTTTAAAGCTGGGCTTTGAAGGATACTGGGAATTCTATGAGGCTAAGGTAAAGGGCTGCATTCCAGACATGGGAAACAGAATTTGAATGGCATGGCAGTAGGAGCCGGGATGCCAAGTTAGAGGAAGAGCCTACCAACCACACACAGTATGTGAAAGAGAGGAAGGTGAATAAATCTGGAAGGGTAGGCTGGAGCCAGCTTGCACAGGCTTGGAAGTGACAAACAGGAGAATATTTTTATTTTAGAGGTAATGAGAGCCACCAAAGGTTCTTGATTAGGGCAGCGGCCTGGGCAGCCTTTGCTTAACGAAGATGACTGACAGATGAGTGTAGGATTCACTGGAGAGGGGAGAGAGAGGAAGCAGGGAGACAAAGTAAGAGGTCTCTGCCCCAAGAAGCCTATCATCTAATGGTGAAAGACAATACATTAAAAAAAAAACCTAAAAAATGTATCTGGGGGAGGGTCCAGAGGGGATGATGAAGTCAGACATGAGCATCTGGGTGGGAAATTCTGAGATGGCTATTTTGGGTACCCTTCTTAGAAGGGGGATGTGGTAGGAAAGGGAAGGAGAGGTCTCATTAGTAGACGCAATTTAGGTGATTTAAACGAGCATAGTTTTATTTAGAAGGAAAAAAAGATTTATTAGAACAGAAAACTATGATTCACATGATAATAGTGGGTAATAGTCAAAATGAAATTTTTCTCCTTAAAAATGAGGGAGGTAAGATTCAATGCTCTTGAGGTCCCTTCCAGTTCTAAATCTGTTATTCTATATGAGCTATGTGCAAAAAACATGTAATTCACTCATTTTTAAGGGTTAAACAAAAGAAAGGACCTTTTTCTTGGTGACTTATTATTTGGTCTTTGACTCTTTGCAGATACCCTGGAGTCATCTTCCCTCCTTTCTTAGGAATAGAATTCCCTCTTTTCTAGTTCAACCAAACTTTGGCTTCCTCATCTAATCTACAGTCACTCAAAGTTTCATTCACCTGTTTGAAACCCAGGAACACTTTCACCCCAATTCCTCAGTGTGGGAAGGTTAAAGCGACATGTCGGTTTTTAAAAATCACCGAAGCTCTTAGCGCCAAACCTCAGCTATGCCTTCTCTGGCACCAGCTCCGTGAGTGGTCCCCATGAGCCAAATACATCAGATGACAAAGATCTCATTACAAATTGTCCCAACAGCATCTGAAAGGCCAGTTCTAAGAATAAGGGTCAGTTCACACGCAAACTTCACCAGCTGCCTTGGCTTCTGGACAATTCCCACAGCTGAAGGAGCAGCCATATCCTCTTGTCACACTGACGTGTTAGAAGCCTACTTTCTAATTTCCTTAAGTAGAAATATGGCAACATTTAATCAGACTTAGTGAATAAAAGGAATGCCTGTAATCTAGCAAGACTGACTTCTTCACAAACACACAGAGGGTGCAGATCCACATGAGTGCTATCCATCAACTGGAGATTCTGTGATGAGTCCAGAAATGAGCATGTAAGGCAATGGGTCTTTCATGAACCTAATCACCAAGAAATCACTTCCCTTTCTTCACTGAAGCCTTCCCTGATTCCCTGATGCTACCAAAAGTGAGCTTTCTTTCCTCTGGGCTTAGAGCATGTTGCCTTTATTTTTCCTATCAAGTTATCATAGTTGTCATACCCGTCTACCCTAGAAGACGGGACCTATGATTTCACTGGTGTAAGGGAATTCCCTGGTGAGGAAACTCCCTCTACTGAAACAGGTCAGCACCTTCTTTAAAACTTATAATCATCGAGAGAACACCAAGAAATTGTGATTTGCTCAGGGTCACACAGTAAATGTCAGGTGGGTCTTGAACTCAGGTCTTTCTGGTTTGTACTGTACCATGCTTCCTCTCAGTCTCCTCTAAACCACAATAATTTTAAGTGTGTCTATCTAGCTATCTCTTTATTTATCTGTCCATATATTCATCCATATCTGTCTCTATCTCTTTATCCATCTATCCATCTTTCTATTTATCTTTCAATCTATCTATCTAGCTATACATCCATATCTATCTTTCCATCTATCTTTCTCTTTATTTATCTTTCAATCTATCTATCTATCCATCCATTTTCTTTCTATTCATCTGTTTATCTATTCATCCATCTATCCATCTATATCTACTATCTATCCATCCATATCTTTCTGTCTACCTATCTCTTTATCTGTCTTTCTATCCATCCATCTATCCTATCTATCTCTATCTTTATATCCATCTTTCTAGCTCATCTTTCAATTTATCTATCCATCCATCATCTGTCTGTCTATATTTCTATCCATCGATCCATGTAGCTCTTTATCTTTCTATTCATCCATCTATCCATCCATATTCATCCATCCACCCATATCTATCTATCTATCTATCTATCTATCTATCTATCTATCTATCTATCTATCTATCTATCTATCTATCTATCTATCTATTGCTTATCTTCCTTACTACATCACTAACTTCCTGAGGGACAGACCAGATTCATTGATTTTGATCACCCTCAGTAAACAAGTTGCATGGTAGGCAACCCCCCCCCCCAATTTAATTGAATTGCTGACTAAAGAAGGGCTAATTCCAGGGGTCTAGACTTGAGATTGAGAGCAGGGGCTATCTTTTGCCTTTCTTTGTATTCCTAGCAATTAGTGTAGTGCCTGGCACATAGTTGTAATAAATGCATATTGACTCACTGACTGACCTAGATTGATAGTTAAATTCTTATCAGGTAAACACTAAAAACATATGGTAAGGGTACTTAATCTCAGAAAAGAAATAACTTTTTAAGGCTAAATTTATTCATAGTTATTAGGCACCGTCAATCTTCATGCAAGACTTTTTTTCTAGTAAGGAGGACCAGGAGTCCATCAAAAATTTAGTTTCAAAGACAATGAGTAAGGCGCCATCTGTTGGAATGACCTTTTTATTTGTTTGCTTCCTTATTTCCTTTGCTTACTTAGGAAGACAAAGTTATGGATCTTTGGGACTTCACAGATCTTGGGTCCAGACTCTTGCTCAATTTAGGAATAGCTGCCGTATGATCTGCTGATGGTGTCAAAGGTCATTTGCCAAAATGCTTAGGGCCCACGAGACAAATACATGTCTGTGGGAGAGGAGATGGAGCATGGAGTATTGAGTTGGGAGTACTACATTCACGGCATCATAGATGTGGAGTGGGATGTGTCCATCTATAATATGGACCATTTACTCCTACTCTGTGATCATTGCAGAGAGGGAAACCGAGGCCTTGAAAGGCCACCCAGGGAGTAGACAGCAGAAGCAGCCTCTGGACCCAGGTCCTCTGCCTCCACACCTAACACTCTTCTCCCTGCGTTATTCTTGTCTTCCAACAATCCAACCTTTTCATTTGACAGATGAGGACACTGGAGTCCAGAGAGCCAAAGACTTATGCCAGAGGTAGGAAGCAGTAGAAATGTCAGAATTGGAACTCATGTCCTCTGATCCCAAATTTTGCACTACACCACCCGGTGAACTTGGGAGTACAAATGCTATTAGCTCTATTTTATAGATAAGAAGTCAAATGACTTGTTCAAGGTCACACAGCTAGCAAGAAGAGGGCTGGGATCTACTCCCCCACTGTGGGCCTCAGTGTTCTGCTCTCTAAACTGGGTGCCAGGTAAGGCCCCGCCCCCCCCAGCTCGGAGGGGGGGGCCGGGGAGAGGGGGGCGGGGCGGCTGCGGCTGCGCAGTGCCGGCGGGGCCCGGCAGGGGTCGCTGCAGGCGGCCGGGCTCACGCCGGAAGCCGCAGGCCGCGCTCCGCTTCCGCTTCCGCTTCCGTCTCCGGCGGCGAAGAGTGCAGGCCCCGGCCCCGCCGCCGCCGCCGCCGCCGCCGCCGCCGCCGCGCTGGTTGTTGTGGTTGTCGTGCCCGGAGCCGCCGCCGCGATGCCGCTGGAGAACCTGGAGGAGGAGGGCCTGCCGAAGAACCCGGACCTGCGCATCGCGCAGCTGCGCTTCCTGCTCAGCCTGCCCGAGCACCGCGGGGACGCCGCCGTGCGCGACGAGCTCATGGCGGCCGTGCGCGACAACAGTGAGCGAGCGAGCCCCCGCCCGCCCTGGCACCCGAGCCCGGGGCGCCGCCGAGGCCCACGCCTCCAGGCCCGGCCTGTCACCCGAGCCCGGGGCTCCGCCGAGGCCCACGCCTCCAGGCCCTGCCTCTGACTCAGCAGGGCCCACAGCCCGGGCCGAGCTTCCCCGCCCCCAGCCCCGGTGCAGAGAGATATGGGAGGGTCCTGGGTGGCCAGCAGAGGTCAGGCGCTTTTACTTACATGTGGAGAAACTGAGTCCCACAGAGGTTCAGTGACTTGGCCACGGTCGGCCCAGAGCCGGTATCATTGTAGGTCGGGTCCTAGCTCTGTAACTGGAAGCCCTTGTGTGCAGGTGGGGAAACTGAGGTCTAGAGTGTTGAGGACGATGACTTCGGGAGCGTGGAGGGCATCTGATCCCACCCCGTCATGCTTGTTGAGTGACACGTAGAGAGTCCTCCAAGAGCAGAAGTTCACTTTCCCCCCCAAACCAGTGCGCTTAGCTTGAGGCCCGGCACATAGTAGGTGCTCGCTACATGTTTACTGTAGCTGCGTGACCCCAGTTGAGTGGAGGCGGGGCACTGCCCCGGGGAGGGGGCTGCAGGATTCGGGGTCCGGCCAGGCCACTGTCGCGCTCCTTCTTCAGACTCTTGTTTGAGTGAATAGGTAGAAAACGACGCAGAGGTAATTTCTCAGAAGGTGAGAGAATGTGCATCCAGCGGCGGAGGTGGGCGCCGCCTGTGTCCGTCCCTTTGTTGGTGATGGGACTGTGAAGTGGAGACCCAGTGAGGGAATGGAGGATCCTTAGGGGCAGGCACTGAATTGGTTTTGTGTGTTTGTTTTAAACAGTGGCCCCTCTGTTTCACATCATGTGGTGCTTGGCACATAATGCCTGAACGGTGTTTGTTGAATTGACCTGAGAGGCTCATGTGGTCATAGAGCTGGTCTTTGAGTCTTATAGGTGGGAAGAAAGCGGAGGCTGTATACGTGTCAGAGCATACAGGTAGAGACAGGCCTAGGCAGGATCTGAACCAAGATACCGACTTCAAATCTACATTCCCTTCTGGCGTACAGTCTGGAAACTTTAGGGTCTGTAAGCCAGTAAATGGCATCCCCAGTGAATTTCTCCCTTGTCTCCTTCTTTCAGATATGGCCCCGTATTATGAAGCCTTATGTAAGTCTCTTGACTGGCAGATGGATGCAGAACTGTTAAATAAAATGAAGAAGGCGAATGAAGAAGAGTTGAAACGTTTGGATGATGAACTAGAAGATGCAGAAAAAAATTTGGGAGAGAGTGAAATCCGAGATGCAATGATGGCCAAGGCTGAGTATTTGTGTCGCGTTGGGGATAAGGTCAGTGAAGGGGTCCTCCTCCCGTCATGAAACTGCTGATCGTTTAAAATAAATTCTCTTTTAAAATATGAATCTGTCACAAGCCAAAATGGATAATTATCTTTTGTGTTTTCGAGCCAGTAAGAGTGGTAGCAGATAGGTATCTGTCCGAAAGTATTTGGAATGTGAATATTATCCTGCAAAAGAAAGTGATTAACCAAGTGTCTCTTTTGGTCCAGGATGCTGTTTTGGAAAGAAATGAGTAGTAAGTTTGGCAAGGCAGAGAGAAAAGTTTCATACAAGAAAACTTCAAGAGAAATGGGGACATCTTTAGGGTTGGTCAAATCCCCTCAATATTTTAACCTATCCAGTTTTATTTTTAAGTTTAGTATATTGTTTCATGATGTATATATTTGATTTACTTTATCAAATTTACTCTGACCTTTGGGTAGGAGATGAATATGATATAAGGACTTAGGAATATTTGCAAAAATTAGCAAAATAAGTCATTAAGGGCCAAAATAATTCAAATAATTGCAGTGGGAATGGCCTGTGAGACAAATATTGTCATGGTATCTGTAGCAACTTCTGGTTAGCATTAGAAAGGCGGTTTTGATACCAGTTCAGACTTATGGTTGGTTTACTTCTAGAAACTTTCATCAAATACTCAAATTGTGATCTCTTATGAACTATAATATTTGGTAGAAGAATATAGGGAACCTTGTATCTAGGGGAATAGAGAATTATCATTTCTGTATTTTTTCTAGTTTTTGTTCACTGGGTAATTTTAAGGGTTACTTAACTAGAACAGTAGATGTATGTATAAGGGAACATTTTTGGCATGGGATCAGATGAAGAGGTCAACCAACCCAACCCCACCCCCCAATTGTATTAGTGAGGAAACCAAAGCCCAGAGGGTCAGTGACGTGGCCAGAGTCACCCTGGCCCTAAGGGGCAGAGCAGCTTGAGTCCTGGATTCCAAGTCCACATACTTCTCCTGCTGCATTGCCTGATTCATTCTTGATGTGTTCGTAGTTTACGTCAAGACTACATCAAGACACGATACATGAAATACTGTGTGCGAGAGTCAGTCAGTGGCTGGGACAGTGAGCAGCTCTATGTCCTTTTTCCTAAGGATAGGATGGATGATCCCTGTCCACGTCTTGTAACTTTGTGTATAACAATATGGTGGCTTTACCGAGCTAGATGACTACTGAGAAAGTTGAGGTAAACCCAGAAGTTACTTTAATTTCATGTGGGACATGGAGATGGGAAGGTTTGAGCTGCATTGTGCTGGAGGGTCATACTGATTCTTCTCTGGTGATTTTTGAAGAATCACATTGCATTGGCACACCATGTTTTGAGGATTCAGTTGTTGTGTAGTACTGTTAAATAGTTCTGAAAGTAGAAAAAAATTAATTAGATTTGTGCCTGGGAATTAAGATCTCTTAGACTTTGAAGATATGATAAACTTTATTTGTTCCTTTTTTGCTCTTTTAATGGAGGTGGCTGGTGTTTGGTTTTAACCCTGGCAATGGTCTTTTTGACAGGAAGGAGCTCTGACTGCCTTTCGGAAGACGTATGACAAGACTGTGGCTCTGGGTCACCGACTGGATATTGTATTCTATCTCCTAAGGATTGGATTATTTTATATGGATAATGATCTCATCACACGCAACACTGAGAAGGCTAAAAGGTATCATTTTGACGTGGGGGTCGTGTGGTATTAAGTGTCTGGCCAACCAGCAGCTCTTCTCTCATAATTTGAGTGCATGAGTGACATGTTTTTATTGGGGGAAAGCAGGAGATGGGATGATGAGAGTGTAGAATAGATTGTTGAGCTCTCACTTTCTGGAAACCTGCTTGTTTTCTTTGACATGAAGCAAGTGACAGTTCATTTAAAAAAAAAACAAAAACAAAAACAAACAGCTAATACACTTTTACCATTAAGATTCTGACTCCTGTAGTCAGGAGGAATTTTCTCTTTGTTACATAACCTAAGAGTATATAGTTTTTCAAAAGTGCTCACTTAATTAAGCTAGGTAACATAATTTGTAACTTTTAGCAGCCACTGTGGAACTGTTAATAATTTTGATTTTCTCTTTTTATGATCTCTTAAGTGGATTATGATGTCTTAATATTTTTTGTTTTAAGCCTGATAGAAGAAGGAGGTGACTGGGACAGGAGAAATCGCCTAAAGGTGTATCAAGGTCTTTATTGTGTAGCTATTAGAGATTTTAAGCAGGCAGCTGAACTCTTCCTTGACACTGTTTCAACATTTACATCCTATGAACTGATGGATTACAAAACATTTGTAACGTACACTGTCTACGTCAGTATGATTGCTTTAGAAAGACCTGATCTCAGGGAAAAGGTAAGGGAGAAGATCTGCGTTTAAAGGTTCTTTTTCCCCCCTTCAAATTTGAAACAGCCAATGGTCAACAAACACGAGTTTGCTTTCCTATTTTAGGTCATTAAAGGAGCAGAAATTCTGGAAGTCTTGCACAGCCTGCCCACAGTTCGACAGTACCTCTTTTCACTATATGAATGTCGGTATTCAGTTTTCTTCCAGTCACTGGGTAAGAACATAGTTACTGCTTTTGATTCTATCCCTTCATTCTGCTGGTAGTTAATTCTGTAAGTAGCCATCTCAGTTAAGGTGACAAATTAAAGAAGCCTGCACTTGCAGATTTTTTTGTGCATCTTTATGGAATCTTTTTTCTGTTTTGTGTAGTAGAGATTCCAGAGCCCACGGAGTGGGGAAGCAGAGTCAGAGTTAGATTGTCAAGTAGTTTCTGGTGATTGATGCTGCCTTTTGAGGGAAAGGAAAAGGGAAATGCTGAGTTTTGGGGGACGGGAGTTCAGTGAGCTCTGAATTATTCTGAGATTGACTTTTTATGTTTCTGTGAAATGTTTTAGCTTTTAAATAATGTTCAAGAGTCATGCTGTAAAAATTGCCCATCAGTAAACATTAATTTAGCCACCTGTCTATTGTGTTCTGAGCCTCGAGCACAGTGTTCATGTAGTCCTCGAAGAGGACCTTTCGAATTTGAGCAGTACATTGAGTTGGCTTTATTTTGTAGTAGTGTTAAGTAGTTCTTCCTCCTGATGATGTCCATCCTTGGTGTGTGGGGCTTTTACTCCTAATATTGAATGGCTCCTGACGCGATGGTCTTTTTTGGTTCTCGTTTCTGTTTTTATTATTTTGCCTCGCATTTCAGTTCTAATTGCTGTAAGTGGATCTGCTTTCTGAGTTGCCGTTTCTAAGCTGCAGTGGGTCAGATACCAAAGAGCCAATGTGTTAGACTTGTGTATAAAGTAGAGTAACCAGGACCTGAGTAAGACCTTGAGGAACTCTCTTGTGGGCAGAGTTCACGAGCACCTGGCACGTGGACTGCATAATAAAAATGTGAGTGACCTGTGTTAGCTCCTTGGGTTCTCCGCTTTCTCCTGGGCTTATTGTTGGTTGAGGACTGAGCCTTGTCTTGCCTCTGCCGTTACGGTGTGATCTTGGGGTAAGTTAAACTCATTGGGCCTCGTTCTCTTGATTTCCAAAATGATCTCTAAGGTCCTTCTAGAGCTAAAATTCCAAGACTTTACTGTCGTTTCTTTGGTGGCGGTGGATCCTTACCGCCCACTGCGATTGGCTGATTGCCGGGAACGGTGTGAAAGGACATCAGACGGATGAGTGACTTGTTTGAACAAATTTACAAGACTGGGCACAGATTGACTTGATTTTGATCCACAAGGAGGACTTTATTCTCATGTGTTGATTGCCAGGCCTCTCAGAGTATTTCCTCTTATTCCTACAAATTCACCCTCCTCTTATTATGTTCCTTGTCCCCTGCTTTGTCATCAGTTTCCTTGGAGGTAAGAATCCAGAGCTGAATTGGAGAATTTTGAATTCCTTCAGCTGCCATAGAAACCTTTGAATGAGATAAAAGTGTTAAATTGGAAAGAGATGGTGTTCATACCTTGTCATTCTTTCTCTTGTCAAAGTAGTTGATGGAGTCTGTTCATTAATAAGACATGGTTCATCTCGGAGGCTGAGTGTGAAGTGAGTGTTTCTCAGCTGTATGATCTCTGGGATCCACATAGGTTTTTAGTCCATGTTTTACAGGCTTGGAGAACGTCGGGTACGAAGCCTGCTTTGTTTTCCAGCCCACGCTCTTTTTCTGCACCTTCTCTTACTCTGTCACCAGACAGATGCCAAGCTCATCAGAGGCACCGACTCTCCTCTGTACGTTAGGTTCGTGTTTGCCCACCTCGAACCAGGACACGGATGGCCAGGAATCCTGTGCTTAAAACACTGCCTTTTGTTCGTTGCAGCGGTTGTCGAGCAGGAGATGAAGAAGGACTGGCTCTTTGCTCCTCATTATCGATACTATGTCCGAGAGATGCGAATCCATGCATACAGCCAGCTCTTGGAGTCGTACAGGTCGTTGACACTTGGCTACATGGCGGAAGCTTTTGGAGTTGGTGTGGAGTTCATAGATCAGTGAGTGAGACTGATGTGTTATTAGCGGAGGCCATTCCCTGCAGATTGGTCAAAACTGTTTAAAATCACGTGTGCTTGCCCCACCGTTTTGCTTCCACACCCCACTCCTTGCTCTGCCCCTCATTTTGAGACAAAAACGCAAAAGTTTTTTTTGAATAATGTCTGGTACTTTAGAGTTAAAAAAAACAGCTGTATTAATATTCCCATTTTATAGACAGGAAATAATTCCAGAGAGGTTTGGACTTGCCTAGAGCCACAGGGCTGGATGGTGTTAAGATGATTAGCTCTCTCAGCTCCTCATCCTTTTGCTCTCTGTTAAATCATATTGCCTCTAATAATTCTCCTGCCTTCTCTGTGGCTGTAGTCCTAAATGCTAGTCAGGCTGAGACAGCTGGGCGGGCACGGTGGGCAGAAGGCTAGGCGTGGATTTGGGAAGCTTGGGTTTAAGGCCTGCGTGAGACCCCAGACAGGTCACCTCACCTTGCCTGTGTCAGCCTTTCCCTGGTCTGTAAAATGGGGATGAGGATAGCCCCTGCCCTCATCATGGGACTGCTGTGAGAATCAACCCAGAGAACACCAAGAAGTGCTTTACAATTCTCTAAAAGTGCTGTAGAAACGTCAACTGTTTGTGTTCGTACTGACTGCAAGAAGCCAGATTTTTAGCTCTTGGCATAATGAACTCCGCTGGTACTTACCCATAGGGTATTTCTTGGAGAGTGAGTCTCTCCCTGCCAGGAAGTGTGAAAAATACATGATGGGCATCCTAGCCAAGAGCTGCCCCCTGAATGGGGAGGGTGTGGTGCGTCACATTGGTTAGGAGACCTGATGTCCTTCTCAGTGGCACACTGGCTCTGTCACTTTGGGTAAAGCCCTTGATCTTTATCGGTAGCAAAGTGGTTATGGGAGCCTTGCCTACTTTAAGGGTGTTCTGGAAATTAAATGAGATCATGAATATGAAGTGCATTTTTAGCATTTCATATAACCCATTCTTGCATATCCTCTAGAAATACTGATATCCCTGATGCACTTTGGAATTTTTGACAGTGGTTGTTTTGGTCAATGGCAGGTTGAGGGGTGGGGTCTGCCTTGGGGTTCTAAAGCTTTTTGTTTCAATCTAGAAGCTATTGGCTTTTCAAGAGGAATGAAAATGAGACAAAAATCCTCATTGATGGTAAAGAGGAGACTGTTAACCCCTGGACAGGGGTTGTGAACAATAGCAAACAGATTTTCCTGCTGCTTTCCTGAAATGGGAAGGGAGAGCATAAGCATAGCCTTGCCTTGCTTTGAATTGTAGCAAATTGAAGGGGTTTTTTAATGTTTATCTAACTCTTTTGCTTTAGATTTGTGCAGGGTTACTTAGTCATGGTGATAGTTAAATCTAGCTACAGGCAAAGTTCCTTCATGTAACATTTCCTACGAGCTTTAATGATAGAATATATCTATAAGTGGATTTTTCTCTTCTGATCTGACCTTTTGATTTCAGCTAAAGTTTAAAGTGTTTGACTCAAGATCAGTTATCCAGAAAACTAGCACAAGGGTGTATTTAGGGGGCAGTATAGAAATATTAGTGCTAAGTCTTTGTAATATTTGAATAGTGTTTTAGGGATTAGATTTTTTTTAAATGTAAAAATGGGCGAAACCATTACTGTAAATGGTTAATTATGCTTCCCATCCCCTAATGACTGCCTTTGACTTGACTATAGGACTAATGCTATATTTGATTCCTGTGTGCAGATTTAGCCCAGCAGGAAAATCCCTACCTTTCTTCATCATAGATACATTAGTTTTTAATGGAGAAGTCACTGGGCCCAGTTTTAATGCCAGGACTTTCTAAATAGCAAAAAGTTAAAGTCCCTACTGTTGTGTAGAGTCTTGTGTGAGACTAGCCCTTGTGTTATGAAGTGGTGTTACTAGAAAAGCACCAGGAATGTGGTCCCAGGGGCCAGAAGCCATGCCCTTTTGTGGGTTGAAATATTTTTGAAACAACTATGGTGTGTAGCATAGTTGGAAGCATGCAATATTTCTGCATGGTCTTTTCCCTCTCTGTGCCAAATATAGGGTTTAGTAAGCTGGCTAGGTCTAAAGGAGTTCAGTCTTAAAACATTTTTTAAAGACAGTTTTTCTTGATGCTGTAACTCTGAAATGAAATCAGTAAGGCACTATTTTATAGGTTGACAGTGCAGGATTTCTCTAAGAACTGTCAGCACTCCGGAGTAACACTTTATTTCACCTCCATCAGGGAACTTTCCAGATTTATTGCAGCGGGGAGACTACACTGCAAAATAGATAAAGTGAACGAAATTGTGGAAACCAACAGGTACCATGCCCTTTTCTATTCCATTGAGATGATGGAGCCAGCCAGTTCTTAATGACGGCAGCCGCCTTCACACTGTGCTGTGGTAAGAACACGGATGTCTTTGTTTTTGAACAGACCAGACAGCAAGAACTGGCAGTACCAAGAAACGATCAAGAAGGGAGACCTGCTGCTGAACCGAGTTCAGAAACTGTCCCGGGTGATTAACATGTGAGGCTGCAGCAAAGTGCAGGACAGGCAAGGGGGTGGGGGACACCTTCTGACGATCTTGCTGGAAATGAAGGGGCCCTTCTGTGAGAAGTACTTGGGAATTTTATAGTCCACTTCATTGTGTCAACAAATAAAAATGATAAGTTTTTGGTTTCAGTATTTATTTTTGAGGTTTGACCATTGATATTTTGAAAGGTATTTTTGAGTTGAATATGCTGAACAGAACAGTTGTTCCTCCCCTTATTTAAAAAAACTAAACGATAACATTACTAAAGTCAAATGTGGCTACCTACCCAATGCCACAATCACTTTTCTTTTAACTAGAAGGGCCCTGGACTCTTCCGGTCCAGCTCCTATCTGAAGAGGTTGTGGCTTGTGGCCACAGTCCCAAGGCTAGTGTGTGCTACTGGGAGACACAAAGGAATGCTGGCCCCCCAGGGCAAGTGTTTTACCATAATTACACCATGTTGCTTTTTTTCCCCCCAATTTTCTAAAGGGTTTTGTTCAGTGTTAGAGATAGATGGCAGGTTATAGGATAGTGACTGTCCTGTAGCAGGCTGTCTGTCTTTCAGTAGTCACAGAAAGTTGATTTGGATCATATCTGTTGGATAGCCAAGTCTAATGGGGATTTGGGTGCTAGAAGTGACCTTTATCTCCTCCAGTACTCTTCATTTTGCAGGTGAGGAAGTAGTGTGAGCCCTGAGGTAAAGTGACTGCCCAGTTGTGGCACAGTGGGCAGAGCTCAGGTTCATTCAGTCGATCTGATTCTGGTTCAAACCGTGGGTCTCCCACCCAGCCTCTCTTGGCCTCAGGCCCCTTTCCTCTATAATGGGGCTGGACCTGGAATGCCTTTAAGTGGCAAGAGCCAGAGTCCCCGGATCTGGTGCTTGGGGGCAGCCTCCTACGAACACTGATTTCTTTTTGGCTGTGGGTGAAACATTATTCAGGCATCATGGAAGTTGTTGGCAAGATAAGATTGTATTGCAAAACCACTCTCTGGAAGAAGGTGTTGATCTTGTTGTGCTGAGACATATAAATAATGAAGTAATAACTTAGAAGTTGAATTCTGTCATCACATACTAGGGCAAATAATTAGCTAGTCATGATCATTTCTATCTCAAGGTCTGGGGAGCAGCGTGGTATGAGATGGAGAGGGGAAGGGGCTAGGACACCCTGATTCTTCTGCAAATGTTGTAATCTTGCCTTCTAATTACTTCTGGAAGATCCCTGTGAAACAAGGCTGTTAGGAGCATGAAACTACCTTAAAAGGTATCCTGTGGTTAAAAAACCTTCCTAAGTTTCTACTTGGCTTAGACTTTTTTTTCTGTTGAGAAGACTTTTAACACTGCACTAGGTGTGTTAATCTTTAAAAGTTCCTTGATGGAGGGAAAAGAAAGCATTAAGAGGACTGACATTTCTTGGACTGTGCTTCAGGTCTCACCTAGACTGATGATTTACTAGGGCTAAGCATCCTCTGCCCAGAGGGAATGGTGCGCTCCTTGAGGAGTCTGGGGGGAAACGGGCTCTCAGGGCAACTGGGGCCTGGGACCTGGAGTCCAGGATGGCATCCACCAAGGAGGGGTGTTGGAAGGATTGAGATAGCACGTGCAGTGAGGGCTGGCAGCCAAGATGTAGGGGGGTGAGCTGAGCTCAACCGAAGTCGGGATCCTCAGTCTCAAGGCCTGAAAGCCACAACAAATCACAGGAGGAGGAGACGAAGGGGGCAAGACCCTAGAAGTGTGCTATAGCTATAGAGCTAGTCTGGTGGGCAAGCTGTATGTAGCCAGGGAGATTTCCAGCCTCTCATACCAGGGGGCATGATGATATAACCAAATGTGGGGATGTTAGCAATAATCATGTGATGTATCTGTATCAAGTTGTGAAAAAGCCCGATTTAGGGCCCACATCTACCATGGAGTAATGGCACAGAGTAATGGAACACAGGCAGTAAACCACCTCAGAAGGCTGTCACTTTGCCCACCCAAACCAGCTATGACTTACCTTAGGGCCAGGCATTTGCTGACCGAAAGGGAATGGGGTGCCCTTGGTGGACAGTATTTCCTGAAGCATCACAAAGGAGGGTGAACTGCTGGCAGGTAGTAACTCTCTTAGGAATTCAGCTGGGTAGCAAACAAACTCTCAAAGAGATCTGCCTTTATTCCACGTAGGCTGGATGACTGGGAGCCATGCAGCCTTGACTTCCCTTACCTGACCTTCCTAGCGATGGGGTCTTCAGGCAACAAGAAGCTGACCTCGGTGACCACTTTCTCCGGTTTTTCAAGTAGTTGCCAGTAATCCATGTGATTTTCTTACAAAGATATATCTTCCCTGCCTGGAGCACATTCCCACCACAGCACCACTTCTCTCCCTCCAAAGACCCAGTTGGGCACCACCACTTCCCTGTAAAGCCTTCCCTGATTGTCCCCTGCAGATTTCCTTCACCTGGATCTGTCTGCATCTTTCAGTCCACAAGTGTGGCACAGAACACACAGTGTGCTGTGTCTTCATTGAAACATCCTTTAAATCGACAAGTTCCGCGGGGTTGTTTTCCCCTTTAGCACCACTGATACAGTGGATAACAAGCGGGCCATTTCCCTGAGTTAGTAGTTAATGGACTTGACTGAGTGCATTTCTGAGTACATGTGTGTGCTACAGAAATGTGAACATTCCAGTCAGTCTTCCTTCCTAGATTGCTCTGACAAGGGCTCTGACCCAGGGAGTGACAGCAGGGTGAAGAGCGAGATCCTCTGAACCCACCCTCCTGAGCAGGGCCAGAGCTGCCTGCTTCCTCTTGGCCCCCAAGTTCTCATCCACCTCCACCAGATGTACCGACCAGCTGTCTTTTTCTTTCACTAGATGCTGTTGCCCTTACCCTAGCAATCGTGGAAGACTGAAGTCCACACCCCTCACTTTCGCAGGGCTCTGCATTCATTTTCTAGTTTTAATTAAAAGGAGCTCTTCCTAATATGAGGATGATTTTATCAGTGATAGTTTTGTACTAAGTGACATCAGCTTGATTTAAATTCATCTTTAATACTATTAAGCTACAAGTGAGCATTTTCATTAAACCTCTGAATTGAAAAATGAAAATGAAAATATTTTTCTCAAATATTTTACTTTTCCTTATTGTGAAAAAAATCATAAATTAGAAAAGGCTTTTTAGTCATAACCTAAAAGAAGCAAAATGAAAAAAAAATTAATTCTAGGATAATTTAATTCCTACCTGCTGCTAACAGTGCAGATCAATTTTAATCTTCAGGTTAGAAGTAGAAGTCATAACAAATACAAAAGATAAAGCATGAACATTATGCTAAAATCTAAGCCTTTTTAATGTGTTACTATCACCGCGGCCTAATAAAAATAGACTTAGAACGATTTTGAAAATTTCATTATGAACTCCCAAACTTGTTTCCTTCACTAGGAAGGTGGTAGAAGTGACTTACCAACTTTACACTTGGGTATTCTCTTTAGAAAATTACACACAGCACATTCTCTCCTTAGTCTGAGGTGCCTTTGTGCCATGCAAAGCTGAATGGGTCAGTGAAGAATAGCTGTCAACTGAATGTCTGCCTCTAGACAACTTCGATAATTTTTCTCCTTGTCATTTGGAAAAGGATAAACATTCATTGAGCAGGATTACTTTCCAATTAAGTATTATTCGTTTAGTGTATTTACAAAAAAATATATCTGAGTGCTCCTTGTCTTATGAGACCTACACTTTAGTAATGCCTTTTTTTTTTTATTTTTAAAGATCAGAGCTTATCTGGAAAACATTAACAAACTACTGTGAGATATAAATTACACATAAGCCAAGAGGGATGTTAGTGCTTTTTCATATAAAGCACATGACTCCAGTCAGAGATTTTTATTGCATTGAGATTTTTAAAATATTGCTTGCACTAGGCAGACCTAGTTGACTAGGTTTTGAAAGTGTTTTGGTTACATAAAAGTCAAGCCCTTTTCTGCCAATAACAGATCCTTGGTCTAAAAATTAAATCTACGCTTCTGTCTCAAAGTCCAACTCTGGTATTTAGATTCCTATCTGCCATTTATCAAGCTTGCTGGAGAGCTGAAAATTGTGCTTAACATTTGCAACAAAATTTGGTCTATCCTTTTAAGAATGGGGAGGGGGGAAGGCCATTTCTCAGTGCTTTGGACCTATAGGTCTTTGGTCTTCAACCACAATATTACATAAGCTGTGGGTCAATTTTTCAAATTAATCTTAGACAAGAGCCTTTCCCAGATACATGAACTAAGCTATCTCTACCTGCTGACTCAGGGATTCCTCTATCAGGAATACACCCCAAGGAGACCACACATTGGTATATGCACCAAAATACAGCAACTCTTTTTGTGACAGCAGAGAAATGGCACCCGGTGATTGGGGAATGGTTAAACAAACTGGTCTGAACTTAACGGAACATTATTATGCTGTGAGAAACGACGATGATGATGAATCCGAGAATCCTGGGGAAATCTGGACTCATCAATTGCAGAGCAAAATCAGCAGTCAAAATCACCGTTCACACAATGACTCCAACAAGGTAAATGGACAGAGTGGCCAACTTCAAGATGAGAGAAAAGGAACAAGGCCCAACTACCTAAAAGAAGCATGGCCTCAGGAAAGCCGCCTCCCCACCCTGCCTTTGGGCAGAGGTCGGAACACAAGGTGCAGCAGCTGCACATCAATCTTTAGAGTGTCTCTGTGACCTGGCAGCTTTGCTGGCTGTTTTCCTTCTTTGTTCTATGGGCCGGCTCTCTAGGACTGGGGAGAGGAAGGGGCACAGGGGACTTTTAGATGACAGTAAAAACAACACCTATTGATGAAAACTTATTTAAAAAAACATGCACTTCCCACATCCAACGGATGCTTCCGTTCTGTATTAAGCCTGATTTTGTGCAGAATTCCCAGAGCAGTGGCAGTCCCAATTCCACGATTTTGGGTCGAATTTAGATAGAAATTCTATCTAAATGGATTTGAAGCCCTTAAGAAAGAAGCCAAGGACTGCTGAGTCCAGGCTAACAAGAAAATCCAAGGAGGAAAAGGTAAGAGGATCCTATGAAGACTTATAAATATCCAAGAACTGAACATAAATATCACACGAGAACAGAGCTAAATTGTTTAGCCTATCCCACTCTGTTTCTTTTGTAAAAATTTAGGGGGTGAAAAATAGATTTTTCTATGTAAAATGCCGTTAAAAATATTCAGGAAACTGAGGCACTGCTTTACCTTTGTGGTTGAGACTGAAGAAAGCCCCATTCTAGATTTAAAGACTCCTCTGAAGAGTAGGTGTGTAGTAGTATAATGAAGCAGAAACATGTAAAATGTATTTCATGTAACCAACCTTGTTTATTGAGAAGTCCTCATTTTATTGCCTGGTTTAGTAACAGGTTTGTTCCACAAACTAATTTTTCATAAAGCAAAGCACAACTTTTTCTTATAAATAGTATAAATTATTTTATTTACAGAAACTTGTTACAAAACAAATAGACTATATATTTCTTTTTCTTTTAAATATCCAAAGTAATTTTCTATCCCATGACATTTGTTCATGTACTATACAGCAGCCAACCCAAAGTCCAGCTGAGATGCTCTTCATCTTGTATACAAATTATCACACTAGTCACACACTTGACACCGGAGATTGCTTTTAGAACCAGGCTCAAAACAGAGCAAGATGCTTTCCAGGCCCTACATTCACATCGACAGTGCGTAGTGCTCATTTTAAACGATCTGAGAATGTAACGGGTTTTGCAAAAAGGTAAAAATGATTATTCTCTGCTAAACAGCAAACCCTTAAGAATCACATGTAGCCCAACTCTTTCCCGGGGGCAGAAGGAGACAGCAGGGAAGCCCCTTGGCAAGAGAACTCTTAGAGGAAGACAGTGGCCTTCAGTTACATTTCTCAGATCATGCTTTTTTTTTCCTTCAATGTTCTCAGAGGTACTTCTTTTTGTTAGATTTTTGGAGTACAAAATCTTTTACATATTCTATTTTAAACTCTGCATTTTATGAGTAAATTAACAAAACAAGACATGTCTTGTAAAACTGCTGGCTGAAAAAAGATTCCAACTCTTGGTGTCGTGGGACAGTTGTATCACCCACCAGGATTGTTTCAAACCAAAATGTCTCATTTTAAAATACTATATCCAATTACCAGCTTAGGTAATTTTGTTTTAACTCCTCCCCTAAAATTTTGGAAATGATGTTAGGTGGAAAAAGCAAGCTCCAAAAAAAAAAAATTAAAAATAATAATAATAAAATAAAAATATACTCAACTTAACATTCAAGTCTTTTAAAGGAGAATCTGTCTACACAGTCCAAGCTTGAAACTAGTTATCAGGCACTTTTCAGTTTTTTTTTTCCATTAGTTTTAAACCACAACATACTAGTGGCTTGCACATGCAAGCACGCATACACATGCGCACACATACACACGCGCACACACACACACTCTCAGGGAACACGGACATCTGCAATTGACACGCATCCACAAAATATGAACAAAGGAAAAGCAGTGTGTCACTTAACTAAATGTAGTCTTCTGGGGAATTAGGCAATTTACTAGAAGCAATGCCCAGTTCATCTCTATGAATCCACTCCCAAGACACTAAAAGGGACAGAGACTTTCACAAAACAGAGGCAATCCCTTAAATTGTAAAGTAGGCAAGTTCTAGGACTATTGGCTTGGCAGTGAACCACTTCAAATTATAAAAAGGTACTTACTTTTTTATTAATTAATAAATAAATACTAGATGATCTCAATTGTACCAAAACTGGATATAAGAAAAAAAGACCTGTGCAAAAATACATATTTAAATATGTACAATCAATTTTAACAAAATATGTTTTCTGAAATAGGGATACTTCAATATTTATAATAGAACAAGAAATTCCAAAATAAAGATACAAAAGTAGGTTTTGTATAATTCTTTGTTCATCATTGCAGCAATTTTTTTTTAAATAGGTTAAGAAAACTGCAGGAGTTGTCATGAAATTGTATGGAAAGAATATAAAAATTGTCTTGGTTTTAAATTAATACCAAAATCTGTCTAGAAACAGCCCAACCACTGCAAATTTGGTTTTGCAAGTTAATTGAATCCAAAAAGTACTTGTGCTACTGTTTTAAATTATCTTAATTATTTATAAGTACTAAGATAATTGTAGGAGAAAATAAAAGTTCCAAGAACAAAACAGCCCACCGGTTTACAATGCCATAGCACTGCGTGAGTAGGTTCGTTTGTGGCAGGCAGGTTTCAAAATGGCTAATTTCCTAATCCGGTTGCTTTATGTACGTGCTACCAGGAGACATAATGAAAATGGAATTAAAAACCCCAATCTAAAAGAAATCCAAATGATCAACACTTGCTAGTCTAAATATCTACATTATTCAGAATCAGCTCTGACTTGCCGTTATATAGCCTTTTTACTTCTTTTTCTCAAGTAACATAATCTTAGACAAATTCTATCACTTAAAACTGACTTTGTTTTTATTGCCATCACACTCCCTTCTTGGCTTTGAAACGGAAATCTACCCAAACCCAAAATGCCCTTGTGACGTCAAACACAGAGATGCCTGGATCCCCCCAAGGGGCCGTCTGGACGCTCCCCCTCCTCCCCACTTACTGCCTGGCTCTTGGGAGGCCATCAAATCATAGATTCAGAGCTGGAAGGGACCTTGGAGGTCACCTAGTCATTCTATTGGTTTTTCCAAATACGTTAGAAAACAGCCCCTTCCACACGTCTGCACTCTTCTATTAGCTGTCCTATTTTGTCCTAAAAACATGTGGTGACTGATTGCATAATCAATGAAAAATATCCCACCCCTTTCAAGAAAATTAATATCTTACATACATTTATCTCTAAAGTGTCTGCATAAAGGATCTTTGCTGTTCTGTTACATAAGCGCCCAGGTCTGTACCTAAAGAGTCTGGAGCAGTTGATTTGATTTAGGCCAATGACCTGAGCTTCTGCTCTACCATTTGTTGGCTTCAGGTTCCCTGAAATGGTAGTTCATGACACGAGAGCAAGGAAAAGGAGGGGCGTGGAGGGGAGAACACAGGATGCACCGAGGGGGTTTCTGACCCGACATCAGCAGGGGAGATCAGCCCTCTGAGAGACACAGGTAACACCCCCCCCCCCACGCACTCCCAAGTAAGTGACGAGTGACTTCTCCAGCAATTACATTCTGACAACATTAAGCCCTTTAAAGATTTCACTCTGGGAGGTGGGGAATGTCCTGGATGGATCAGAAAACCCTCTTGGGAAGGTGAAAGCTCAGATCCTTGAGAAATGAACATGAATGAAAACAAATGCTCTCTCTACGCAGCATGTAAAAGTTTCCACTCCATGCTGCCCACCCCACCAAGCCCCTCCACCGAAAAACAAAACAAAACAAAACAAAACAAAAAACTACCCAACCAGTTATCTGTTGGGACATAAAGGGGGTGAAACAACAGGGTCAGGTCAAGCTGATGTTTAAAACTGATTTCTGTTACAGTATTCAGAGGAGGTTAAGGATAACATAACTCACCTCCCAAAACATTAAAAATATGAATGCTCTTTCTGTGGTATCCTATTAATTTCATCTTAAAAAGGCAATTTTTAGAAAATAGAACGAGGCTAGAAGGTATAATCAACCTACTTTGATATGCTGTTTCAATGTGAAGATTATGCAATACCCTTGTAAAAGAAATCACATTTCTTTGGAAATCTCGGCGGAGGGTTTTTCCCCTACAGTGATTTTTTTTTCATTTGGCTTTCCTCTATCAAAACTAGTTAGCATTTTTATATTTCTTTTCAGTTGCATCTTATTCAAAAAGCACATAGAATTGCTTTTGTACCATGGAAAATATTCCTCCAAAATAGTTTATACTTGCTTTCTGGGCATCGATGGCTTAAAACAACTAACTTTTTTTTAAAAGTTAGAAAACTCCTGACAGCTCCTTATCCCAAATTACTTGCAAAAGGCTGGGCAAAAATTCGGCCTGTTTTGTTCTGCTCAGTTGGGCTACTGTCCGTTTTCCACTGCCCAAACAATAAAGCCACATTCCCTTCTGGAGGGTCACTGCCTGCACCTCCTTGGGTGTCATCCAGAGGGCGGGTGCCTAACTGCTAGTGGATGACCCCGGTGAGGCTGGCCTGGGGGAAGAAGGAAGGCTAGGGGAATGTTCTGCCCAAAACGTTTTTTTGCCCAGCCAATCTTTATCAAAGAGTGGCAATCTGATGTCTTCTTGCAAGTAAAAATCTCACAGATTTGTAGCAAGCAGTCCAGACCACTTTTAACACTGATAAAAGCAATTCTGTGGCTGAACTCGATCCAGGGTCTATTAAGGGTGTTCGCTGCTACAGACATGGCTTCAGGGAATTCCTTTTTTAAAACAACAAACAGTCCAGCAGATTTCTACACCTGAGGACCACTGGAAGCTGGGATAAACTCAAAGGCATCGTGGAGTCCAGAGTGCCAGGTGGAGGTTTTACTTGTAGTGAAAACTGTCCAGTTCTTTTCTCACTATGGTATTTATTCCAGCTGTCAGGGACGTGCCTTTGGCTTTGGAGAGAGAGAGAAGAGAGATACAAAGGGAAAGGTGAGTTAGCCAACATGGAACGTGTCCTTTACTATTTAACACGATTCCTAAGGTGGTGTGTGTGCATACGGCCACAAAAATACATCAAGATGTGACCCTGACAGCCAGCTACAGAATTCCAACTGCCTTGAAATCTAAAGAAACCTCCATCTTCTTGGGCAAAGTGGTGCCTCAAGGCTTGCTAACAAATGCTCGGGCCTGACCTCAAGAAAGCTCCAGTGTTTCCTTTCGAGCATGAGCACAGGTACGTCCTGCAGACTACAGGCAGAGGAAGGGGCAGTCTGCCGCCACTCTGGCTCCAGGAACATCATACAGTACAGGCCTTCGTGGCCAAAAGCTGAAGGAAACCCGCCTGGAGACGGGCAACCCCCCCCCCCCCCGGCACTCAGGGAGTGGCCCTGCTTTGATCCTTCCCTGCTTGGCACAGGCACTTCCATCATGCTTGGGTTACCACAACCACCAGCTCTGCTGTTCCTGTCCTCAATTCAGCCCTGCGGGGAGGGGAGCGAAAGTGGCCTGCTTGGAGGAAGCTCGCTCCAATGTGGAACAAGAAATTTAAATCACTAATAAATAGCATTCAACAGCACTGACGTCCATCTCCTCGTCAAGCTCTGACTGGAGAAGTCAGAAGTCGCCTTCCAAGAAAAAAACGCCGAATTAAGGGGCTGAGCAGTGCGCTCCAGCTCTCTGTCTTTTCCACATGGCATAAGCTGTAATTGTGAGGCTGTAATCTGCTTGGCAGTAAGATGCTAAAAGCCAAAATACAGCTCGTTCCCTCAGAGGAGCCCGGCCTTGGAGTGAGGAGACTGCTCTCACCCGGCTCGTCCAAGTGGGTGAGCCAGGCACACACCTCTGCGGGGTCACTCTTGGACTCTGGCTGCTGCTTCTGATTTGGGATGCACCTCATTTCTATACCCATTACTAATGGTGACCAGAAAACTCAAGAATGCTTCTTTTTTTGGGGTCTCCCACTGCCTGCCCCCTCCTCCAAAGGAACACAAAACACTTCAAGCACGTATAGAACAGTTCTCTGAGAGCAGAAGAGGAAACGGACAGCTAGTGAATGTTGAAAGCAACTGAAATCAATGATTTCCCTCTTCTTTAGAATTCTGACCAAACTGGTCTGGAGGAAAATAGATCCAGGGGCTGCCGGATGTTCTCTTTTAAAATACAAACGAACCAAAACCCCAGACTGGTTGCTAAGTGAATTACCAACATGAAGTGACTAAACATAAAGGGTGGAGGCTTGGCTTTCAATAGGTGGAATGCCGATTTGTGAATGAGGCTGCAGGAGCACCCTGCTGAGTGAAATGGGAAGGAGGCTGAGAGCCGAGGGGTGGAAAGACCAACCGCCGCTCCAGACGAGGGGCTGGACTGCAGCTCTTTAACAGTGGCTTTCTTTTTTAACACGCTAAGTCAAGTAAGGGTTAGTTCTGATGTGTGCCTGTCAGCCACCCTGGAAAAGGGATCAAGTGAAAGGTGTGCAGTATGTGTTGGTGAACCTGGCTAGGGGGAAAGAAGCACAAGCTCAGAAGAAAGCCTTCATCAGCTTGCAAAGCAGGAGTCTTTCTTGCTAATTCAATCTAGTTTCAGTTTGGGGCTGTCTTCAGTGTATTTGGCTGAGACAGACAATGGAGCGGGCACTAATTTCTCCCTGACTTGTGGCAGATGGTGAAGGGGCATGATCTGGACAGCTTCTCACTGGCTGCTGGAAGGACCTCTGCCTTCACTCCTCCCCAAAGGCTGCTTCCAGACCCTAACCCCTCCTCGCTTCCCTCCCGAGGCCCACCTTCCAAGTTTAGTAGTGATGGCAGTTAGGCCCAGTGCAGTGTTTTAAACAGTCACAAATAGGTTTTTCTTTTAAAGGCACCATGATCTATACCAAGGGTTCACCTGGAGTCTGAACTTTTTTAAAAAATATTTTGATGAATTGGTTTCCTCTGCATCCCATGCATCTGACTTTATGCACTTAAAAACATTGTTCCGAGAAGAAGTCCACACTGCCCAAGGGGCCCGGGACACAAACAAGGTAAAGAACCGCTGATGTATACCAAGGTATTGGCTACTGGACAAGGAGAGGAGGCGAGTGTGCTTCGCCACGGAGCTTAACGGTGGTCCTCTCTTACCTGAGGAAGAAGAGAGTTGTTTGCCAGCCCCTGTGTCCCTGGGATTGGGCCAGGGTGCTTGGTGTGAACGCTGTTCATGGATGGCAGTTTGACAACCTTGCCCGACTGGCCGCTGTGATGGATGGCGCTGGAGCTGGGGGACCCCTTTCTCTTCTTCCCTAGGAGTCTGTCGAGAGGGGGATGGGAGTGGGAAAAGCCACCGTGCGAGTTGGCAGCCATCGTCAGCTCGCTGGACTGATGGACGAAGGGGCCCAAGGAAAGAGTGGAATCGCTGCTGTTCACCATCACGCTCATCCTCTTGATAGATTCTGACGGGCTCCCCATGAGGGGGCCCCTCCCTGATTGGCTGTGCCTCATGCCCACAGAGTTGGCTTTGTTAGTCAGACAGTTGAGGCCGATGCTATGGGACGATGTCACTGGGGAAGGATAAACGGTCCCAGAGTTTCCAGAGTTAACCACACAGTTTTTCCTAAAAGAGTCTGTGGAATGAGGAGAAGAAGAGAGGAGGAGGAGGAGGAGGAGGAAGAAGAGGAGAGAGGAAGAGGAAGAGGAAGAGTGTGCGAACAGTGGGGAACTGTTTTTGCGTTTCTTTCCTGAGCTGCCGCTACTGCCAATATTGTTACAGTTCGTGCTGTTAGCAGGACACTCCTTAGGCTTCAAAGACTTGTTGGATTTCAGTTTCTGAGGTTTCCCGGACACTGGGGAAGGTACTGAGGAAAGCGCCGAAGGGGCCGAAGGGGATGAAGAAGACGCATGTCGGGCCTGGACTCCGCAAGCGGGGTCTATGGCCCCCAGAGCAGCTGGGGGGGCGTTGAGCGTTGTTCCATGGGCTGGTACAGACTTGCTGTTCAGAGGGATGCAGGAGGACGAAATCAACACTGGTGATGGTGAGACCGTGGAGGAAACAGAACCTGGGGGGCTTATGCCATATGGCGACAGGGGCATGGAATTTGTCCGCTGGGGAACACGCACAGATGCCGAATTACTAGGTGCTGGCGGGATTTTCCTAGAAAGAGAGAAAAGGCAGTAGGAGAGTAGGGTCCTTGGAAGATTGACTCTCACCCCCCATGAATACAGGACATCTTTAAACTCTGAAGGAAACCTCAGAGGAGGAATCCTAACTGTGGACAGGTTCAAAACTACTGCCCCATCACCCACTGTCCACTGTCAGGTCCTCCCCTGGAGTGCACGAATGTCTCAAATCTCCTGTTACTGCAGACTGGGGAGCAGTAACGTCAGACTGCATCAATAATTATTTACAAAGAAATGAAAGAGAAAGAACCTCTCCCAATGAAAGCAAAGTAAGAGCCTGTAACTTGTGCTTACAAGCAAGGATTCAAGGCCTGCTCTGCTGCTGATTTGTGTGCCTTTCAAGGCCCTCAGTCTTTCTAGGGCTGGACTAAACCCTCCTCACCTCCTGTAAGAGGAAACGAACGAGGCCTTTCCTATTGTTCTCCAACTGCCAATGCTTCCTCCTTTCCTAATGACTCCGTATTTATTCTACATATATGCTAATACACGTGCTTACTTGTCTCTCCTATTAGAAAAGTAGCAAGGATAACACAAGTGCTTAGTAAATTAACTCACTGAATACCTGACTGATTAAATACCATGCATGATGCTGGTACCAAATAACTAAAGTTAAGCATGCATCCTTTCTTCTGCTATGGAACAGTAACTGACCAGAGTGGGAAGTGGTGACCACTCTCTGCAGGGGCTGGGGTGGGGGATGCTGTTATCTGTGGTACCCAAACACAAAACATCAGTAGCACGAAAGAGGACCAAGGCGGGTTGGACAAGACGTTTTACTCTCAGGTCCCATCCAGCTCTAATATTACAAAGTTATTGGTTAAGGGGGAAAGAAAAAAAAGCTCTCCACATCAGCTGATCGTCAAACCAGAGATGAGCCGGTGAAGTCAGTTAAGGGCTATGACAATCTCATCCTGGCCCAGTTCTCCTGTTTTTCTGCAGTGCTCAAAAGAAGCCACCAGGGGGCTCCAAAAGAGACCTGCAGGTTCCTGGAGCATCCTTGCCTGGGAGAGAACTCTAAGGCAAACTGGCAATGTCGATTACATAGGGAAAGGATGCAGACCTAGGTCCTTCATGGAGTTCCTCCTTGAAAGAGTACTGGACTGGGAGCTAAGGCCCCCCAACATGAGTGAGTTTGGACTGAAAAACCTGGGCTCAGTTCTCAGATCCCTCACTTACTATCTGGTCAATCGTGGGCAAGCCCCTTAATATCTCTGGGCCTCAAACTCCTCACTTGCAAAACAACCCATTTAAGGAATGCTAAAGATCCCACAGGGTTCAACATCACTTCCCCTCTCAGCTCGTTTCCTTCTCTGTAAACTAAGTGATCCCTATTCCGCAATGAACAGAAATGGTTCACAGACTGTGGGCACCCTCAGAGCAAGACTGCTTTTCCTTCTCTACCCCTTAGCACAGCGTGTGGCACACAGCAGACACTAAAGAGATGCTTGCTGGCTGACGGAGCAATTCATAAAACCGTAGGTCTGACGCCTCTGGATGGTGCCGCGCCATGCCTTCAGAGGAGGACTGATCCTGTTTGTGGTGTTGTTACTGATTGTTTTCAAAGGACTCCTACAGCCATTCTCAGGTGTTAATGATCCTTACCTTCTGTATGTCTAACCCAAATCCTTCTTATAATCTCTAAAGCTAACGACAAAACTGGGCTCTAGCAGGCTAGCTCTATGTATACCTGACCAAAGTCAATATAAGACAAAGAAATGCATTTCTGGACGGGCCCAGAAGCATCGGAGCCAGTCGGCTGGTGCCATATTGCTTTCAGGGTTTTCCATGAGCATCTAAAAAAATTCCACTTGATCACGAAAGTAAAGCTTAGGTTCTCATAGCCAGGACAGTCACTACAGGGGATGGCTGCTTATTTCTTAGGAGTAAGCAATAAAGGCCCTTAACCTTCTCTCACCTCCTGTCACAGAATAACAACAGACTGGAGCTAAAGTGGCCCGCCAATTTCTTCAAGGACTTTTTGAAATCCCACTTTCTTAAATGCCTGTATACTTCTCAGAGAGAACATTTCTATACAGGCAGAACTGATCAGAAATGAAACCATCTTCAGGTGGGCAAATAAGTATCCCCACTCACTGCTGGCTAGACTTTCTAAGGTCCCTTCAAACTCCAGATCCTATGAAGGACCAATTAAAACTAGTAAAAATACAATCCACACACTATAAACCAGCTTAAAGTCTCAGCGCACAGGGAGAATAAACAAGAACCAGGAGGGGTAGGTCTGAGGGTGGGTGGATGCGGAGACCCTCAGGACTTCCTCAATTAATTCCACTAATCCTAAATGAATTATGTCAGCACTCCACAAGGAGTGTGAGTCCTTAACAAGTAAAACCAAGAAAGGGGTGCTGAATACCCCACTCTGGGCCAGGCGGTAATGGGTTTTCCAAATGACAGCTATACTGGTTTATTACCTTGGCCCTTCCTGACTTTTTCTTCCTGACTTAAGCATGATCTCTTAAGGCTTAGGAGAGAAAACAAAACACACCAACTAGTGAAACCATGTACTTCTTCAGTGATTCTGGGAAAGGGTCTTTTAGGGTGTGGGTGTGCAGCTGCAGGAAACAGCTCAACCATGGTCTGGGACTATCTGTGGGCTACAGTGAACCCTGGCAATCCCAGCGTTCCTTCACACACATACTGAGGAGTGGGCTATGGCTCGAAGAAAACCTGCTTCTCAAGGACATACTAAACTCATTCTCTGAATTTTTATTTGAATGAAAATGTGAAGGAAATTAGACTGATGAAAATGAAGGAAAATAAAAACAAAAACAAACCCTTTCCCTCCCAATCAATGGAAAGAAAAAGGCACTCACTTCCACATCTGGGAATTCAGATGCTTGTCCACCATGAAGTGAAGGGCACATCGGATACGGTTCCACCTCTTATCAAAAACAAAACAGCCCCTTCCCATCTGTCGACTACCAAATGTGCAAAACTGAAAGAGAGAGAAGACAATGAAAGCTTTTGGAATGTTAAGTGTTTAATTTCCTGAGTAATGGAGCTAATCCTTAAAGACTGATCTTAACTCCTATGGCCACATGCTACAAGAAACTACAAAAAGTGAAAATACCAAGAGCTGGTTCTTTTCTGAAGAGAAAAGAGTGTAAGTTTTCCCAACGTGGCGCTATGGAGTACGAGCGCCCACTTGAATTTACCTAACTTGCTCATTACTGCTGTAAGGCTGCTGGGGAGTGTAGTGACCCCCAGCTTCTGCTTTGGTGTGGCCTCGGCTGGTCTGCTGTACAAGAAGGAGGTGCCCCCGGGGGGTCTCTGGCTGTGGCAGGCCTGGCAGATTGTGCTTCTAACATCCCCTGCCCCTCCAGTGTCCTGCCCACGCGATGAGGGCTGCATGGACTCAGAACTTACGGATGCTGGCTGAGGATGATGAGCTGAATAATGACAATCCAGCTTTCCCACAGATTCTTCTTTTTCGTCCCCTTCTCCCTCGTCGCTGGATCCCCGAGATGCTGGCTCAGTCGAAGGCAGGGGAGGGTGCGGAGACTCATTAGCGGCAGGAGAATCGGAGGGTGCGTTCCCACTGGGTGGGGCCGGGAAGCCTGGAGGCCTGGAGGGGCAGACAAGGCACGCCCAGGGACCGTGGGACACAGACATGGCTGCAACTCCTCTCCTCCGCCCAACTCTGGCACCGCCAAGGGCCCGAGCCCCTCGCCCTGTCAGGGCCCCCAGCCCCAAGGACACCACGTCTGTGAGAGGCCTGGCTCCACACGGGGAGCTGCCGCTAGCCAGGGGCGAGTGCGTCTCCCATCCACAGATCATGAGCACGGGACTGCCCAGGCTCCCTGTTTCCAGGCTCTCTCCTCTCCTACCCTCAACAAAGCTGCCAAAGGAAGCCTCCTGAGGGCAAAGTCTGACAGGCCTCTATGAAAGGCAAACCAATCAGCTCCGTGCCGTCCATCCACACGCTCTACACTCCCACTGATGGACATCTACCTCCTCCATGTTGGGGATGCTCCCACTCCTTCCTTCTAAGGATCTGAGAACCCCTCCCCTCCTGCGGCTGCCCCCCCCCGCCGCCCCATCACTTCCTCTGGGCTCCTATCTCCACCACTGGGGGTGCAAGCTCCTGGGGAACGTGGATCCTCCTTGTCTGTGTATACCCCTGTACTCATGTGAGTCGGGCACTTAGCAAATCATGCAGAACTGAAATAAGTACAATTTCAATAACCTGTAAATCATGTCTGTGGCTAAACAAAGGATGGATGATGGATGTAACAGATACTCAGTTCATACATACACATACATATATACACAGAGATGCCTTTTTCTGCTTCTCTGGAATAGTCTGCGTGTGGATCTAATGAGGGCTACATGTGCTGACCCACACAGGAAGGTTCACGTCACCAGGTAAGGCCAGGCAGCGGCAGATGGCGACTGTAAAGAGCACCTTCTATGCAGAACGTCTAAGGGCTGCATCACCGAGTCTGCCTCGTCGCGGGCTCTGTCCCACCAAGGGATGGTGGCCACGGGATGGCGTTGTTGGCCACAGCCACTCTCCGTGACCATCTGCAGAGTCCCTCAGGGGTCAGACACTCCCCTCCCCCCTGTGCAATTACAGATCCTAGAGCTCTTCCACCACAGAACCCACATTTATCACTGTCCATTCAGAAGAACTCTCAGGAAAACCTTTTAAGAAGGGATGAGTAATTTGGCCAGGTGACCAGCCACACAGGGCTTTCTCCTGGTTCACCTGACCTCCTCCTGAGGCTGCTGGAAGCCTCTGGCCTCATTTGGACTGAGTTGAAGCACCTGCTCAACTTCTCGCTGACCCCTTCTTCGGGGGGCAGTCAGCAGCACCTCCCTGCCCTGGCTGGCTTGGGGAAGAATGAGTCTCATCTGAATAGGACATGGCTCCCCTGGCAGGGGCCTGCTTTGGAACCTCCTGCCATATGTGGAAGCTGTATCTATGTCGCCCTGTGTCACCACAGCCCCAGAGCCACTCCCATCTTCAGGGCCTTCAGCAGGTGGAAGGAAACTGACCAAGAGGCCTCTTCCAGCACCCGCCCTGGCTCCTCCCACTTCTCTCAGAGGACCTGGAGAGGTGGGGCTCCAGTCCTGTTTACCTCAGAGCCGACTGCCGCCACTGGATAAAGGATCCCCTCTTCCCTGGGTCACTGACCTGCCTGAGAAAAACCATGCCTCAAGCCTTCTATCACCACGAGGATCCCAAGAGCCAGCATCCCCGGAGCCCTACCCCCCACGACCAGAGCTGCTAAGACTTTAACCAGGTTGAGGGCATTAGACACCAGGTGCCCAGTGTATGCTTTATGAACCACAAATCTCCTGGCCCATCCCAGAAGATGTGCACACCATCCCTTGTCCTTGGGGACAGATTAGACCCCAGGAGCTAGGTCCCAGCTCCTCGCCGGCTCAAACCCTTCCTTCCCTAGTGCTTGAAAAGACAGGCGCCATCACAGAACTGCAGGAATCCCAGCAATGTTCCCTATCTTACATCCAGCAAAGCCCTAACCCCTGTGATTCAGCTCTGCCATCTGTGGATACAGAAGCCCACTTTCTTGTCCCCAGTGCTACCCCATCCCTACTGCCCTCTTTTCCCATCCCAATCTGTGCTGTGGAGCTCCGACTCTGCTGGTAACAAACTTCTCTTTGCCTCACCCAGGACCCTCAGCTCTTTTCATCTTCTTGAGCTCAAGGAAACTGGGCTTCCTCCTCCTTCGCACACTAGCCCTGACCGCCTTCTCTCCAACACCCAGCAGCCCGACGGAGACAGGACCAGGGGGTAGGCGTAATATCACGCTTGATGTCCTCTCCTCTCCTGTTTTCAGATCCCTCCATCTGTCCCCAACAGAGGCTCTGGACCCTTGCTGGCCTTGGAGTCCCCCATATCCCCTTCTACCTCCTACCCTGCAGATGACAATATGATAAGCATGCTGGTGTCTCCGAGGATGCACAGACCTCCCGGTTCAGCAGTGGCCTCCACGCTGATGACCTGAATCTCTTTCCTGAGTGCTAGGTCTGCAATGCCCACCGCCTGTCTGCATCTCCAACCAACATGGACAAAATGGAATTCTCCATATTCCCCTGAACTCACACCTTGCTCCCAACAGCCCCATATCTGTGGCTGGTCACACCACTCCTCTCTTCTCCCAAGTATATAACCACAGGGTCCCCCCTTGACTTCTCTTTCTTCTCACTATATTTAATCAGGCACAGTGTCTTCTTCACAGCATCTCTCCCATCTGCCCCTTCTCTCCACTAACATGACTCCTCCCAGCTTCAGGTGCCTGGACCACTCCAACAGCCTTTTCCTCCTTCTATCCATCCTGCACCAGAACAGATGACTTCATATCTCTATGAAGACGGAAGTCTGACCAAGTCACTCCCCTCCTCAAAAATCCTCAGTGGCTCCCTATGTTAGAACAAAATATAAACTCTTCAGTCTGGCATTCAAAGCTCCCACCTACCTATTTCTCACGACCCACTTCTATGTGCTCTACGTGCCAGACAAAATGGCTTATTCCCACAACATTCCAATAGCTGTCCCTGAGTCTTCAGACACTGCTTCCTACGGCCGAAAGGCACCCCATCATGCCTGAATTCTTTCAAGGTTTTGTTCAGATGCCACATCAAAAGCAAAGCCTAACCCCTTGCCCCACTCCAGCATGAATCTGTTCAAGTACTTCTTATCCCAGTCTCCTTTTAGTCTACATGCCTACAGCACGCGGTAGGAGCTTATGAAAATGTCTACACAAGTGACCCAGGGACCACATACTGAATCCATACAGACTGAGGAAGTCAAGTCAATGTGTTAAACATACAAAGAGCTCTTCCTTACTATAATGGAAACACTGATCTCTCCATCTCTTTCTTTTCTCCCCAGAGTTTGCATACGAAGCCCTCAGATTGACAGGGCTACACTTATGTCTGTGTATGAATACCTGTATGTCTGCATGTATTTGTGTGAATGCATACACCCACAGAGCTGTGCCAACACACATGGTGTATCTATGTCTGTCTAGGTATTTATTTATGTTTATGAACACAAAAACACAGTAAGTAGACAAAATCATTTTTTCATTGCAGAAATTAGTCCTGAATAAATGGGGAAAATGTGTATGATTGTTTAGATGCTGTGAAAATAAGACCATCCTCCCTCGGTATCTAGACATATGTGGGGGTGAATGGAGAGAGAGAAAATAGCTAAGGCAACTGCAGTGTGTGACCAGTGAGGTATCTTACAGATTCTTAATGTTAAGTTAATAGAGGAACCGTGTGAAATATGTTTCTGTCCACCATACTGCAGGAAATGCCCTAAGCTCCAAGCAGTTTTTCACTGGCCTGGCTCAGACATTCTCCCATGGTGAGTAATGGTTTACTGAACAAGAAACCAAGAATTTCATTTACTTCACTGCTTGGGACTGTCCAGGAACAAGGCCTCTTCAAAACCTAAATACTGGGCTAATCAACATTTTCAAACTCTTGTAGTCCAATCACCCCATGAGAAATCACCTCCTTATCCTAAAGATATGGTCGTGGTGTCCACTCACATCCCAAAACAGGTAGAAATTGAAGACCAAAAGTCAATCCCCTCTCTCTCAACGCCACACTACATAACATTTGCAAGCCTGGGGCACAAGGTTTTACAAAGGAGGAGGACGTTACTGACCTTGGAAGACTGGGGTTGTGAGGTCTGGGTTTATTAGCTACTAAAGGCTTGGATTCTGCAGGCATCACTCCATGAGAGTTTTGGTGCAGTTCCGGCGACGTTTTGGAAGGGCAGGCGTGTGGTTCCCTGAGAGCTGGGGTCTCCTGCTGCTGCTGCTGCTGATCTGGATGGCGCAGCAGCTCTTTTTCCCTGCTTTTGTTTTTGTGCTCAGCTAACAACACGTCAAAGCGTTTTCTGCGACCCTGGACGGCCCTCCGCTGGGTCAAGGAATGTGTCTGCAAGTCAAACAGAACAGAGGCTTTCCTGAGATCCCGGGAGAGGGCCCTCGGCGCCTTCAGCACAGCCCCCCGGCCAGAGCCCAAAGCCCGGATTCTGGACACGGGGCGGGCCGATGCCGCCCCGCCTCTGACCAGCTAACGTGACCCCAAGAGGAGGCTCTTCTCTTCTGAGGAAGGAAGAGACTTAATCTGAGGGCTACGCTTCCAGTATGGGAACTCAGTGTGGTTTTCATCAAGGCTCAAGAAGAAATGAGAGTTGGTAAGCATGGTGTTTGTGCAGGTGAGTAGGAAAAGAGGCTGTATTCCTGGTGAGCAAAGCCCACGAAGACCTGCCTGCTCCCAGGCTGGGAGGCCAGTCCACTCTCCAGGCCTGTCTCAAAGGACTGTGTTGGAAAAACACCTCTTTGGAGCATGGTTAAAGTTGAGGGTTTGTTTTTTTAATTAGCTCAGGCAATAAAAAACCTTCGGACAATCCCCTCTTACTTAGTAAGTGCCAGATTCTAAACAACCCAAGCCCATTCCTCCCCATGAACACGCCAGGGATGGGGAGAGAGAAACCCAGCCTTGAAGCAGCAATGGTGGGGACGAGGAGCCCTTCAGTAAGGAAAGCAAACACCTCTCCTTGGGCGGGCGGGGGAGCAACGCCTGGCTGGACAACCAGGACTCAGGACACTGAGAAAAGAAGAGCAGAGCCCGGACATCACTTTGTCTCTAAACGGCTCAGTGAGTGGACGCTGCCGACAGACAGAGACAGGGACGGGACCGGTGACTCTGCTGTAGAGGGAACTCTCTGACGTAGGGAGGTCAGCCCACAAGTCTCTGAAAGCTGCCTAGACTGCAGCACCGAGAGGCTACGGACGGGCCTGCCCAGGGTCGGAAAGAGCATGTGCCAGCGGAGGCGACTTGAACCCAAATCTTGGCTCTGAGGTCATCTCTCTATCCACCCACCAAAATATCAATTACTAACCACCAAATATTTCTAAAATAGCCGATTTCTTAAGGGCCTTTCTCAATGCAATACACAGCCACCTCCAGGCAATGGACCAAGTAACCCCCCCCCGGAAGAGCTGGTAAGAAACTGCTGAGATTACCCAAAGCTGACAGAGTTCATCCACCCGTATGCTCATCGGGGGTCAGCAGTGAAGATACAGAATTGACCCCAACAAGGAGAAGACCTCCTGGGAAACTATACAAGGAGGTCAATGGTTCCAAACAGCTCATTGTCCCAAGGGGTCACTGCATAAAAACAATACTCTTTCTCTGATATTATATGTCTAGGAACTAGAGAATGTCACCATCTCAGACGCACCAAGATTTTGGTGACAGAAGGGGTAAGAGAAATAGATGTGTGGTGGAAATAAGGAGGCCATGGGGACACTAACGGCCCAAGAGGAGGCAGCCAAGACATCGTGAAGAAACCCCATGATTGGAAACAGAAGTGGGCAGGGCACAGGTCAAGCAGACTGCCCTGCCATCCATTAAAAGCATGAGAGGAAAGGGGTCAGAACAATGTGAAACTACAGATGGAAGACTGATGGAAAGATACGGACAGCAGCGGTTCAGGAGGGAAGACGTGGATGGCGGCTTTCTATCAGGGCAGATGAGAGGGTCTCACTGACCACCTAGTCCAATGGAGAGCTGAACGTGACCCTCCCCATCACATACCTGGCCATCCTTAAGTCCTCTAAGGAGCCCATCCCACCTCTGGACAGAGCACTGACTGCCACAAGGCCTTCCTTTTCATCAAGCCCAAATCTGCCTCGCTGCAGCTTCCACCCACGGCAAACAATAAGACTAAATCCCTCTTAGCGGGGAAGGAATAGGCATTTATCAAGCGCCTCCTCTGTGCCAGGCCCTGTGCTAAGTGCTCTACAGACATTATCTCATTCGATCCTCACGACGACCCTGGGAGGCAGGCACTATTATTCTCCTCCTTTTACATCTGAGGAAACTGAGGCAAGCAGCAGTTAAGCGCCTTGCCCAGGGTCGCACAGGTAGTAAGTGTCTGAGGCCGGATTTGATCTCAGGTCTTCCTGACTCCAGGCCCAGGGCTCTATGCACTGAACCACCCAGCTGGCTCTAGGTGAGAAACTCTCAGACTCTCTAAGACAGTTACCATTCTGCTCTCCCACTCTTGCCTTCTTCTTTCCAGAATAAACACCACCAGTGTCTTCAGCCTATGTCATGGGGCATCCATTCTTACTCCCCTACTCTGCACACTCTCCAGTTTTTCTATGCTCTCCCTAAAAGGTAGCACTTGGGACTGACCACGATACTCCCTGTGTGGTCTGACCAGGGCGGAATGAAGCAGCGCCCCCATTGTGTCCTTACTTCTGGGGGCCACGCCTTCCTTAGCCCACTCTGGGACGCCAATCTTATCTCGCTCATACCACGTGGACTCCTGTTGAGCCCACTGAGACCCAGACCACTTTGAAATGAATCACGATCTAGCCATGCATCTGGGAAGCTGATTTCTGAACCCAAGTGTAAGTCCTGGTACTGACCACCCCAACTAAATTGGAGCATGCCAGGGTTCCAACCGGTCAAGATCTTCCCAAATCCTGCCTCTGTTTCCCAAGGTGAGCTCCCCATCCAAGCTGTGGGGAATCTGCCAATCTCAGAAGGCTGCCATTGAGGCCTCTACCCAAGTCACAAAGGCCATGGATGAGTGGGGGAGTACCTGGTAGTGGGCAGCCTGAAGGATGAAGGGTCTAGAGACTGTTTGGGAATTGTGAACGGCCTCTTGTCCCCTTCAGGACTCCGCTGTGGGCCACGCCCTTTCCAATCATGGCCCTCAGCCTTGGGGGCCTTTCCAGTTCTGGACATGCCTTATATGCATGTGTTCTCCCTGAGAGAAGAAGAGTTGCTGCCACACAGAAGGCGGCTCATTTGTGTCTTTGTGCCCCCAACATCTAACACATAACAGCGCGACACATAACAGGCGCTAAGCAAGTGTTTATTAATGGACTGATAAAAAAATTTTAAGCTCACGGGTACCAGGGCTTCTTCCTTCCAAACAGACATCCAACCAGGGAGGATTCTGTTCTTTGTTCTGGATCTTTCCACCAGGTCCAAAGCCGTCTACTTTTCCTGTACTGCCCAGCCCACGCTGCCATCTTGTCCACGAGGATGCCGTGAGACGTGGCTAAAGTCAAGGCCCACTCCTCGAGCAGCAGAGGACGCCTGTCAGAGCAGAAAGACGGTTCCTCCAGGGGGACCTGTCCTCACTGAGCACAGGCAGGGTGATAACTGGTTTTTCCTCTAAGCCTTTACTCACCATCTCTCTAACGGGTTCAGAATTCTGTTCATAGGGGGCAGCTAGGTGGCGCAGTGGATAGAGCACTGGCCCTGGATTCAGGAGGACCTGAGTTCAAATCTAGCCTCAGACATAGAACACTTACTAGCTGTGTGACCCTGGGCAAGTCACTTAACCCCACTGCCTAGCCAAAAAAAGAAAAAAAAAAGAACTATATAGAATTCTGTTCATTTTCTTTTTTTTCAAAATTTTGGGAAAAAAAAATTCAAATTAAAGAATCACAGATTTAAAGCTGGAAAGAACCTCAGGCCACTGAGTCCTATGCCCTCATTTCACAGATGAGGAAAGTGGAGTTCAGGGAGGTGAATAAGTCACTTGTCCCAGGTCACTAAGTGTCTGAGGCAAGATCTGGACTTCGGTCCTCCTTACTCCAAGCCCAAGGCTCCATCTCTCTAGCCCAGGCCACAAAGTACTGTGGCATCTCTCCTCTCTAATTCCAAGATCCTTACTGGGCTCTCCACAGTCACACTTCTCAGTGCTTTCAGTCTTCAGGTAACACAGTCCATCTGGGCCAGAGAAGTGCCCTGGAATTCCTTCCACTCACCAAGGGCAGCCAGCCACTCTGTGATACTGCCTGACTTATGCTGCCCCTTTTGTTCTGTCTTTTCCACTTTCGAAATCATTCTCCTTGGCAGAGGAAAGAGATGTCAGGCTAAGCTGCAAGCGGCTCTGTCTCTCTGGCCCCCTGGTTCATCTCGCTCCCCAGAGCAGCTGAACCATGGGGATCCCTCTCTTCTCCTTGATGAAGACCTGTACATGTGGGTGGTTTCCTGATAAAGTATAAGCTCCCAGCAGGCAGGGACTGCTCCATTTTTCTCCTTGTATGCCCAGTGCCCATCTTCGTGCCTGGCAGAGGGGTGAAAGCAAACACAAACCATCCTCCTCTGCCACTCTCGACTCCTTCTGAGCTTCAGCATTCATCATAAATAAACGCTACCTTCCATCGAACAGGGTGACTGCCACGAAATGCAACATCACCCAGTACACTCCCCTTGTGTGCTAGAGGGGGAGGTGGGGGGAGGGGGAGGAGAGGAGTCCAGGCCCACAGGAAGGAAGAGGCAGAGCTGGGCCTGAACTCGGTCTTCTGACTCCAAATCCAGCCCTCTTTTCATGGCAAAGAGAAACCCGGCCCTCCTTACAGGGCTGTGCCTCGATGCTCATGGAGGATCCTTCGTCATTCATCCTTGCTTTCAGCCTCTGGACAGCTTCAAAAATGTTAAGTTACTCCGTGAGTTCCTGGTTAATCCCCACTAACAATCACCCTTTCCTCATGAAGATGGCTTCCTATTGTGGCCTCATCATTTTATTTCTCAGGGATCCTTGTAAATATCCCTCCCCAAATGGAGGGGTCCATGCACATCCTCCCAGCTTCCCTTAGCTCCTTGATCACAAGCCCTCTGAAGGAGCTATCACTGCCTCCTTTCTTCTCCACCAGGTGCACACCATTTCTACTCCAGCAACCACTCTCTCTCTCCTTGGTGTGAGAACCAGATCCACCCTAAAACACTGCCTGGGGGGTTCCTCCACATCTTAAGGAGGAGGGTGTTTTTAAAGCAAATCAAGAAATGCTAGGCTGCTTTCTTCACCTCCTAAATGAAGTCTCCTACAGCGAGTGACCTATCACATGTCTGTGCCAAGATCTCAGAGGTCTCCTGAACTCGTCCAAGAAGCTCATAGCCTGCTGTAGGATCTGGAGACAGAATCATTTCTGTTGCTGCCTCCACTGAACTCTGCCCCAGGTGTTCACCATCAAGCCTCCCCAAAGCCACCTGCCCCCAAAAAAGTAAGACACATGTGCGGTTTGAAGTCAACAAACAGAGGGCACAGGGCGCTAAGCCAGAAAGTGAGAAAAGTAATGAGACAGTTCAAATATGTTCTATGTTGTCTGCCTTTTATATTCCAATTAAAAATGCCAAATTATAATTACAAGGCATGGATGAATTAGGCCAAAGTTTTTATTTTGAAATACAGGTTAGAGAAACCTAGGATACATCTAAATTGAATAATTTTCTAACATTCATTTAAAATCCGGCTGCAGCCCATTATAACCCAATGACCTGTCCAAAGGTTAACTGGTTCCATTCCTCCCAATTTCCCTAATGGCACCCAAACCACTTCCCCAACTCCCTCTGTCTTGTCTTGTCCCCTGTGATCCACCTGCTATGGAACTGTGTGGATGTTCTGTCCAGAACATCTTTCACGTCCTCCTTCCTCCTCCACACTGACACCCCTCTAGTGAAGGCCCCACCGCCCTCCCCTGAGCTACTGAAACAGCCTCCCAGCTAGCCTCTTGACCTCTCAAGCCACCTTCCACCTAACAGCCAAAGTCAGCTTCCTGGTACACAGGTCTGACCATGACCCCTGTCTGTCCAAGTGCCTTCAGGGCCTCCCATTGCCTTGAGGACAAAACGGAAACTCCTAAGTCAGCTACCTAAGTCCCTGATCTCCCCCATCCAGCCTCTTTTCATATTCTTCCCCTTTTTATATGCTCTGTGCTAACCCGACTAGCCCACTGACTTCCAGGGAAGCCTTGCCAGCCCCACTTTCATACATTCACGCAGCCCGGCCCTCATTTTCCCTCTTTCTACTCTAGCTCCCAGGCTTAATTTCACTGCTTCCTGCACTGGCAAACCTCTTCTGATATCCCAAAGACCAAGCATCTAAGCAAGGGGTAATGAGGGCCTGCACACTAAAGTGGGGGGAGTGGGCACAGAGAGGAGAGGATGAAGGTGAGAGAAGGGAGAGTGAGATGAGGTGGCACTGTGGGCGTGTCAAGCGCTCAGCTAGGAAAGTTGGGGGCGGGGATCCCGCCAAGGTTCTGGCCGTGGGTGGCCGGTGGAGCCACAGACAGAAGGGGGAAGGACGAACAAGTTCAGGGGCAAGCCAGTAAGCTCGATTTCAGACGTGGAAGACGTCCTGTAAACAGCCGGAGATGCGGCTGGAGAGCTCAAGCCTGGAGATCTCAATGCTGCCCAGAGGGGCAGTGCAAGCGGCAGGGAGGAGAGAGGACGCCCGGGAGCGAACCTTGGGAAGCACCCACCTGAAGAAATAAGGAAGAGGAGGACAAGCCAGCGGAGGAGACAGAGGAAGAGAACCAGAGCAGTGTGGGATCTCTGAACCTGCAAGAACAGGCAGAAGGAAGGGGCGGTCAACAGAGTCAAACCTGGAAGAAAAATCAAGCAGGTGGAGAAAGGCCAGCGTGGTCAGCGGGGATCACGAGGGACGCGGAAGAAAGTGGCTTAGTGGAGCGGACTGAGAAGAGAGAAGACAGCGGGCAAAGGCCGGCATTGGGGAGAGGCAACGTTTCCAAGGACCTCAGTCAAAGGGGGAGAGAAAGACAACCCACACACCAAAGGAAGGCTTTTTACAAGAAGGGCTGCGGAGACCTGAGCCTGCCTACAGACAGATGGCAAGGGGCAGACAGCAGACAGACGCCTGGAAGTGGACTACAGCTGCGACGCTTTCCTGCGGGAGAGAGCGGGCGACTGGGTCAGGGTCATACACAACACACAGGTACTCTGGAGGCAAGAGGCAAGGTGGTAAAATTCTCCAATTCTACTGAGGGGGAAGTACACGAGAGGCCCCCCGGGAAGTGGCCCTGTGTCTACGGCCGACATTCAGTGATGTGCACATTTAATGGACCGATCGACATCTTGCTAAGGTGGTGTTAGAGTCTGAAAGGCAGACTAGGCAAGGCAGGAGAGGACTTAAGCAAACAGGAAAATAAATCAGCAAACCACTATGTAGCTGAAGAATTTGGGGCTTTTCCAAGAATCTGACTTCAGAACATAGTTCAGCTTTACAGTACTGATAAAACTAGCCTGCTAGGGCAGTGTTTCCCAAAAGTCCACCCCTTGCAGATCCGAGGGAATCAAATGCAACAGAGTTTGAGCAGAATAACAACTTGACTTGACTGCTCTTGCCTCTGCTAAGTCTTGTGAAACTGAAAGCTTTCGTGATTGGCTCACGTATGAGTCATCCCCAGGCTTCCAAATATGTGATACAAATACCAGCTACTTGCAGAGAGAAAACAATGCACAGAGAGACGGAGAAATGTTTTTCTGACTGCTTCCATCCTATTTTTTATATCTCCCACGAAAGAACCCTTGGGGACCAGAGATTACCCAGCTGAGCAAAGCCCTTCTGTCTCCACAGTTATCTAACTGTGGAGCTCGTCTCGGCCAATCGGGGTCAGCATTTGCTAATGCTTTTGGCCAACTTATCTCCTTCAATGGCTGCACCTATGGATCAGGGTGTTAGTCAAGACAGTCAAAGAAGATGTTCCTGGAGAAAGCTGGCATGCTACAGGACTTCTGATCTTGTTCTAACATTAAAGATGCATCCAGGGGGAGGCTGGGGAAGGGGTTTGCTTGTGTTTGGAACGGCTGGTCTACAAAGCAAACAGTAAAAAGAGTGGAGAAACCATGGCCTTATGTTTAAAGAATTCTCCTAGGATGGGTTCTGTGGGCTACGGGGCAGCTGACTCAAAGGGGATTAGCACACACTGAAAAACACGCATTTTTGTGCATTAAGGGAATCTTGATATTCTTTAAAAATCAATCTTAAGACATGAGCCTCACATTTTTATTTATGTGAGGAGCCCAGTGCTCTGCAAACTAAGGCCTGGGAGCGAGAGGAGGAGGGAAGACCAAGGGGCAGCCGTTCTCTCCTCCCTTCACTCCCTGCTGCAGAAGGCTTGAACTGGGTTGTCTGCATCAAGCTCCTATGCTCCCTGCACCAGAGCTCATTCCAACCAAAGAGCCGAGGAGATGCTTGGGAGAGGAGCAGGGTGCATTCATTCAGCCACCTCAATTTAAAAGCGTGACCAACGGCATGACTCAGAGGAGAGAAGGGGTCCTACCTTGCATGTCAAAGACCTAGTGCACGGCTTCTTGGTCTCCACATCAATGACACCACAATATATGTCAGGATCAAACTCTCTCTCTGTCAGAAAGATACAGACACATTACAATGACCCCCCGGAATACGCCTAAGGTGGTTTGTGCTCCCTTCAGATATAAGATGATTAATTATAATTTAAATTACAAATTCCTCTCTATACACATAAAACTATAAACTAATGAATCTACCATATATTAGTATTGATTTAAGAAAAAAAAGAAAAGCTGTGATTTTGTTTTCCCCAAGAGTCTTTCCTTCTCTGGGCCTCAATTTCCTCATCTGTTCAATAAGAGGGTTGGATTCAATGGCCTCCGGTCTCTTCCCATCTATGATCCCTGTGAGGAACTTGAAAGGAGAAGGAAGCATCCTTGAGAGCAGGTGAAAGTATCTCTGTCCGTCCCGGGGACAAACAGGTTATAAAGTAGCTTATCCTCACCAGTGCATAAAGACACTGAAAACAACGACTTGGCATTCATCACACAGTGGTTACTCCAGGACACTTTCCATGCTATGTTATCTAACAGAGGCCACAGGGCGGAGAAGAGAGAGGGCCACCATTGGAGTGAGAAGCCCTGGCCTTGAGTCCTGTCTGTGCCACACAGTGCCACACTGTGACCAGGGCTAAGTCACTGAAACTTTCCCTCCCCATGGCAAATCCCTCAGAGTGTACCGGAGGTGCCAGTCTACATCAGCAGAGGAAGTTTTTACAAAGGGAATTTCCCACCACAGGTCCAGATCAGAAAATAAACCCCCACCCAAAAAAAGCCCACAAAACCCCCGACAACAAAAAAACCTAAACCCAGAGACAAATCCCTTGAAGCCAAGGGAGTGCACATGTGGCCTCTGAGTGATGCTGATGGCTCAACAGGAGGTAAGGGGACTGCCTGAGCTGATCCACCTGGACATTTAGTGCCCCTACTTTCTGAAGAAAAGGCAGTAGTAGGAGAGCAGCAGATGCAAAGTTACCTGATAATCTCTTATGTAAAAATTTCCTATTATTTGAATGATCTTCTGACTTCTTTTCCAAAATTGGAGGGGCAGGAAGAAGACCTTGACCATTCAGTATCTGTCCAGGGGAAGGCAAGGGTGGCTTTGGTATTGAGGGACAATTAAGGCCAGTCTTGATGGAGGAACTCACAGTAGCAGAGCCAGCCGAACCGAGAGCAGTTTTCAGTAGTGCCCCATCCATCTTTGGGTGGATCTTTTCCACCTTGACTGAAGGCGTCAAGCTACCATTGATGGAGAGAAAAAAGAAGACAGGTACCTCAGAGATGGGCAGGTAAGGGGCGTCTGGTCCAGAAAAGGGTTCTTAACCAGAGGTTCCAGGACACCAGACGCAGAGACAAAGTGAAAGACGTCTCGGGGGACGGGGTGAAAGATCCAATGGGGAGCCCATAAAGAAACTCACACCAGAGACAGATGAACTCATGGTAGAAAGCCCATAGACACAAGGCAACGTGGTGTTATGGGAGGACAGCTGGCCGGGGCGTCACAAGACTGAGCCTCTGACACATCCTTGGAGGGTGGCCCCGGGCAAGCGGCTTCAGTTCTTAAGGCCCTCTTTCAAGGCAACTCACTAAGCCCAACTTACAGGTGAGACACATACCTCCATCAAGGGAAGGCTTCTGACTGGGGGATTTGTAGGTCAGACCAAAAAATAAAACAAAAAAAAGCCCCAAATCTGTAAAAAGCCAACAAGATCACCTGGAGAATACTCACGGGAAAAACTTTTTTTTAAAAACAATGTTCTCAAAAGAAGGAAAAAAAAGGATAAAAATAAAATACAGAAAAGCCTCACAAATTTAGCACAAGTGGAAGAAAAACCACCTTAATTACAGAAGTTTGTAGCATTACAGTATCATAATTCAAACTAGGCTACAAGCATGTTGCCAAGAGCAGAGGTCCTCTGGGAGACTGTTAATGAAGGAATAAAAATCATTCCAAATGAACATATCGATTGTACATAACATCATTCTTCTATGGTTTTGAAAAGCTTTGTCTCACATGTGTTTTTGATAAAAGGTTTACAGAAAGGCAAACTTTAGCCCAGCTCTATGCAAATGTCATCAATTCCAAGCAAGTCTGGTCCACAAAAATGACATGCTTTTACAGGTTCCGGCTGCTTGAACCACTTGCGGGGTGGGCATTTGGCTTGGCTCTCTGCTCCGTGCCCAGGACACTGATGTCCTGTGGGGCTGGGGGCTTCCCCAGTGTCCCTGGCCACGGCTGCTTCCCCACGCTGGCAACGTGCTGCTCAGGGGATCTCCCTGATTTAGGGTGTGAGGCCTACCCTGAGATGGAGAGGCCAATGAGAAGCTGAGAGAAAGATGAGGCCGTCCACACTTTCCCACTGACTCAGGGAGCCTCCCACCTCCCACAGCCAACGTGGACTTAAGCCAAGAAACTGCCTGGAAGTGAGTGTCTTTGCTGATCACTCTCCTGCCCGGGCCCAAGCCCTGCTTGAGGGGCATGGGCGTCCTCCTCTGCCTCCACCCCTGGTTTCACCCGGCAGATGCGGGTCGAGCACCGGGACTGCCTACCTCTGAAACCGCCAGCCCTTCCCCCGCCCCAAAGCCCCGCGTGCCACCTCTGTGACAGAGAACATACTCACATCTTATCGTGGGGAATTCGGCTGTGCTGGACCGCATGCATTGGCCTACTGTTTCCACTGAGCTGCGGCTTGTCTTTGGGCGACTTCAACAACTTGGAATTGGACGAGGGCGCGCTGATAACGCCTCCGCCACAAGAACGGCTGTTCCCACCTGCACTGCTGCTGTTACCTTTGCTTTTTGACAGGGAAGAAAAGAAGGAATACATGGAGGAGGGCGGTGCCGTCAGAGGGGGCTTGTTGGAGGAGCTGTGTCTTCTTTCTGAAAAGCAAAAGACAGACAACTCAATTCACTTGAGTCTTTCAACCTCTGGGAGATCTATCCTCCCTGTGAAAAGAGAACTTTAAAATAAAATCCCTCCACTGACCACACCTGGTGGCTCTGAGCAACCTCCAGGGGCACTGGTCCTTCCACGTAAAGGTGTTGGCCCAGCCAGTGGTCCCCCTCTGCAGGCCTCACGTGGCCCCCCAGAAGCCACATGCTGGTTCCGGGCTTGTGGAACTCTCATGGTTCTTGTCCGTGTCCAGCGCCCTCTGCCCACGAATCTGCCTGCATCTGGGCTCTCCACTGAAGGCAAGTGTTTACCCACTGATCTGCGGAGCTGCAGAGTTAGCGGTTGAAGGGCTTTTCTCTCTTCCTTGTGGACCTCCCCACGGCTCAGAACAGCGAGCTATGGCTAAGAAACAAGCCGTGCCCAAGTGATTTTCTCATGTTTTTGTCACTGCCCACTAGAGACGACACCATTAAAAATGTTTCTGGGGTTATCTTATCATCATTTCTTAAGTATTTGTACTAAAATTTCCCAGTGAGTCTTTTCACTCCCTTTTTATAAGCTGACCAGGCTACATATGGTCAAACTCAGGTTCACACCATCAAGATAACAAAGGCGCAAGACAAAATACCACACATAGCTCTAACAGCTTCTAACAGGGAAGTGATTCAGAATTAAGCAGGGGCCACACAGGCTTATTCTTGATAAGAGATCTCAAAAACAAACTCATCCTCAGAAGTATCAGCTCTTTTTCAGGAAGGCTGTCAGGAGCATTAAGAACTGCCAGAAAAATAGAAATGTACAATCTACGTAAGTGAATTATTTGATAAGATTAATCCATTTGGATAATTGGAAGATGCTAGCTTGTCAGTTACCATTAACCAGCTTCATAATAAATTCTTTAAAATGCCGAGTTTGTTTAATTTACAAAAACGTATGCTATCCATTATCAGGCAGCAAATACTTAGCACATTCTAGGTGAGTTCCTAGAGTTTTCATATGAAGCAAATTAATATCTCAGTGTCTACAAGAATCACTCCAAATTCCCGCCACCAAACGTGTTCTTTATAGCAGAGGCTTTGCAATCTTCCTGTTTGTAGGCTACTTAATTAACAACACACTGAGAGACACGGAAGGGCCAGACAGAGGCCAAGACCTGATGACAACAACCACAGATTGAATGTGAATTTCCCAACTTTCTTCACTAAACACCCCACTTTCAAATGCCTGTCACCTCTATGTGAAAGTCTGAGACAGGTGATTAGCAAGAATCATTTTACTTTTAAAAATGGCTTTTGTTCCTGAGGAGAGATGGTAAAGAGCCATCAGCAGGCACCCAAAATTAAAACAAAACAAGTCTTTTGAACCTGATATCAAGTTCAAGCTCATGTCAGGCCCCACATCATCTCTCGTGAGGCTGACAGCATATTTCAGCTGACCTGGGAGCGATGCTGTCATGAAAAATTAACATGAGGCTGCTACTCCCTATATCCGGTAAAAGGATGCTCCAGGTGTCTTGAGCAGGGGAAGGATGACCGGGGGGGGGGGGGGGGGGGCGGGGACAGACAGTAAAGTTGCTTACAAATCATGGGATAAGCAATTCTGGGATCGGGGCACGGTTAAAGTCACTACCACTCTTTTTATTTACTGGATGCTGGAATTTTCCACCAGACTCCTCACTGGGGCAGAGGTGTTACATTGATCTAACTACCAGATGATGGATGGGAGCATTTTCAATACACTCAAGTTACATGACATTCTCTTGCCAATGTACTTCCCCTCCAGTGTTGTTACCAAAACTCTTCTTCCCTATGCCCGGTTTCTTGCTATGGAATTTAATTGGATTCATTCCCACTCTGTCAGGACACAAAACTTTATAGCTAACTGAACTGAATCAGAGCCGAGACTCTCCCCAAACCCGGATTTCTCACTCCAACAAGAGACGTCATTCTACCTGACCTGTCAAGCAAGGTGTGGCTCTCTGTTACCTTGCATCCTGTCATCCCAGTAAAACGCACAGAAATGCTTTTGATTTGCAACAAGATGGGGACGAGGGCAGGCAAACACCAGCTCAGATACCTCCAGAGTCAAAACAAGACACTCTTTAATCTGATGCAATCAACAATCTAACCAAAAAGGATGGGGTCTCCTGGTCCTCACAAGCCAATGGAAGCAGGGTGAAATTTCAACTGAAATCAAGGAAAGGGAACACCACCCACCACTGACCCCATCAACAGGGCTTCACTTTGGGAACAGCTTAAAACTGGGTTTCCTGCCTAAGAAAAGGTGGTTTTTTGCATCAGCAACAGACAAATTATTGGGAGTCTTGGGGCCAGAGGTTTGGTCTAACTGCAGTGTGGTTCGCTGACCCCGGGGAGTCAAAGCTGTGTCTTCACAGCTCCCCTCTCGCTAGGGCCTGGCACCAGAGCGGGCCTCGGAAAGCTGTCCCCGGCGAGCGGGCCAGACACCTCCGAGGGCAAAGGCGGCATTGAGTGAAGAGACCTCAGGAAGCCTTCCAAAGGGGAACGCACCAAAGAGAGAGGGAAGCCTGCAATTCTGAACTTGTTTTTAAAAATCCCAAGTGTTTGAATCCAGGCAGGGACCCCAAAGTAACCAAAGTCAAACCTGGTACTACTGCCTGGCCAGCTAAATTTCCATGCCATGCCCCTCAGCAAGTGCTGGATACTTCCCAGCAGTCTTCCTTCGGCCTCCTCTATGCAGAGCTGAGATGGGAGTCAGGACACCCGGGGTCACATCCTGCCCGACACTCAGGCCACCAGCTGCTGCCCAGTGAATCCGACTCCTCATTTAATTCAGTGCCTGCCTTGCTCATAATCAATCAGTCAATCAACAGGCCTTTATTAAGGGCCTACTGGGTGCCAGGGCATATGCTAGGGACTCCACACAGAAGGGAGACAGTTCCTGCCCTCAGGCACCTACCTTCCTCAGTACAATGGGCACAAAGTGTGCCCCAAACTTGAAAAGGGAGTGATGAATGAATCACCAAAAACGTTAATAAGACCGGGAGAGGGGCTGGTCCTGGCACCTTAGTTTGGGCAGCGGGGTCAAACTCAAACAGAAATGGGGGCCATTAACCTAGACATCAGGATCCCCATGGCCACAGACTGACTTCATTTTAACGGGTAATGAATGTTATTTGTATTTAATTGTATTTTCAGTTTCTTACATATTTCCCAACTATGTTTTAATCTGGCTCAGGCCCTGCTGGAGAGGGCTGGTGGTATGCGCCAGGTGGTTGGATATCTCTAACCCAGAGTACCGAGGGGGTGAGTGACTTATGCAGGATCCCAAAGGCAGCTGGATTTCACAGTGGATAGAGCACAAAACTTGGAATCAGGAAGACCTAACCTGGCTGTGTGACCCTGGGTAAATCAATGAACCTCTGTACCTCAGTTTCCTCATCTGTAAAATGGGGCTAATAATAGCACTTACCTCTTGTGGTTTTTGTGAGGATCCAATGAATTGTTTGTAAAGTTCTTTGCAAACCTAAGAAGCATCGTATAAATGCTAGCTATTATTCCTGTCATATGTCAAAGGTGGGGAAATGTCGATTATTATTATTTATTCTACTTAGTTTCCTGAAAGTGGTTACCATGGGCCTTTCCCATTTTCCAGAGGCCCAAATGTCACACTTGCAGTGGAAAATCTCAGCTCTTTTACTGAGGAGTCCTGAAGCCATTCAGGCTGCGTCTCCCCATCTAACGCCCGCCATAGTTCGAACCTCAGCCCCTCCCTACTCATGCCTCCTATCTCAGAGGAAGAGGCCGCCAGCATCCTTCAACTCTGGCCCTTAATCCCCTACACTCCCGATTCTGTGATACCCTCCTCCCTGCATGTCTGCCCCTTCCCCTCTGCTGACAACCACACTCAGGCCTCCCTCATACTATAAGAAAATAAACAAAAAGCCCCACTTCTCTTCCTTCAAGCCTGACATTCCCCTGGGCTCCCATCCCATGCTCTCCTTCCTTTCACTACCCACCATTCACAGCGCCTCTCTGCCTCCACACCTGCCGCTCTCCTCTCAATCCTCTGCAATGTAGCTTCTGCTGCTACTCCATTCTCCTACAGACCTAACTGTCAAAGCAAGGGGTTTTGTCTCAGCCTTTGTTTTCCTTGACCTCTCCGCATCCACTCGGCAGCCTGGAGTTCTCCTCTCCCTTAATCAATAACTCCTTCTTCCTGTGGTTCGCTGAATATTGGACCTCCTAGTCCCCATCTTATGCTCCAGTCATTCCTTTGCTGACTCCTCCTCCCCAAACTGCGGCCATCTATCCTTCCATCCCTCCTCCTTGTGCCCTCCCTCTGCCTGGGACTTCCAGCATCCCGATTCTTCAGCTGACTCCCAAACATACAACTGCCCAACTCTCATCTATTTAGCCACAGACCTCCATTTCTAACTACCTTCAAAAGCATCAGTAACTGGCTGCCTCACTGGCATCTCCAATTCAACAGGCCCCAAGCTGAAATCATCCTCTTTCTCAGATAAAAACACGTCCTTTATTGGTTTCTTCATTGGCTAATGGGTATTTTGATTCTCCACTTAGCCCCACTAAATACCTCAGTGTTCTCTATTTCTTCCTTAACCTTTGCATTCATTTCCTTCACAATATTCCCTATATTCAAATCCTCTACATTCCTGTTACAATTTAATTTCTCACATTCATAGTACACACTGTGGTTGTGGCCCTCAATCTCTCTTCTGCCTGCACTACTGAACTAGAAGTCTGTGTGTGTGTGTGTGTGTGTGTATGTGTGTACACACACACACACACACACACACACACACCCCCTCAACAGCCAAGCAAACCCTACTGAGAAGTTAGTTTACAGATTTTTAACAAAACAGTGGGACGTGCCCTTCCACTCTGCTACCATGGATGACTGCACATTACTCCCTCTTACACAAACCACATTCCAGCCAAACAGCCTTGCTGGCTGCTCCCTACAAGCGACATTCCATCTCCTGTCC